TGAGATAACGGTTTTGTGATTATTTTGAAGTGTCCTTACATTTCAGAGATACATACCAAAACACATATCAGTGAAATGATATATGTTTTGGCATATATATCTGGCATCTTTCTTCAACTAACACAGGACAGGGAAGTGGGTGGGTGAAACAAGATTGGCCATGAATTGATCATTGTTGAGCTGCGTGATGGTTACATGAGGATCAATTTTAGTAAATATTTAAAACATTCCATAATGAAAAGTTTTGGAAGAACTTTTTCTGGACTGGATACAAATGGACTGATAGAATTGCTGACAAGGTATTTGAGGACATTGGGAAGGCTTCCAAAAAAATTGGGACACTCATGTGAATGCGTTCCTAGGCAGCAAGGGAGCATGAACAAACAAATTAAGTTATTTTAAGCATCACCTAACATCGTCGATATCAAACATGCTTAGTATTTGCTTTTCATCAAGAGCAGGCTAGTATCACATGGAAACAGGTTACAGAGTTCACGGAGCTTCCTTGGAAATGGATATGTGTAGAAATGGGCTGAGGGGAACGGGAGAGGGAATGAACGTTTGATTGGGCTATCAGGACACCTGGAGTGAGAGTCTTGGCTCTGTCATTAACCAGCCGTATGTCTTGGAGAAAGGCTCTTATGTCTTGGATGCCCTCATTTCCTCATTTACAACAGAAGGCCTGATTTATTCCCTAAGAACACCTCTTCAATCTACTAATCTAAGTGGGTTTCCACAGATGTAAAATGATAACTGTGGGGTCATAAGTAGGAAATTGTCAGCTTTAGGTCACTGCAGCATCATTGTCAGAACCTCCAATGTCAGCATCTTTGCTATAGGTGACCCCAGAAAAGTCCCTGACACAACCACCTGCTTCACATGAAAAGCAGATGGGAGGAATAGTGTGACTGCGTGCACTGAGTGTGACTGCGTGTATTGAGTGTGACTGCATGCATTGTTTTTCAACGCAGTACCTAAAAATTCATTCATTATGTCGTGTATAACAATAGTTCAATTGCATTGCTGTTTTAATGTGCCATGATTTATTTATATGAATTGGTGAATTGGTACGGACATGCTACTAAGTATTTATCCACTGTATTGTTGATGGCCATCTGGAGTGTTTCCAGTTTGAGGCTTTTACAAATAATGCTGCTAGAAATATTCTCACACATGTCTTATTATGCTTATGTGTATACATCTTATCTATAAAGGAATATTGAAAAATCTGCTCCTTGGTGCCCTTCTCTGTATGGGAAGAGACTTTATTTATTTATTTATTTATTTTGAGATGGAGTCTTGCTCTGTCATCCAGGCTGGAGTGCAGAGGCCTGATCTCAGCTCACCACAACCTCTGCTTCCCAGGTTCAAGCGATTCTCTTGCCTCAGCCTCCTGAGTAGCTGGGATTACAGGTGCCTGCCACCATGCCCAGCTAATTTTTGTATTTTTAGCAGAGACGGGGTTTCACCACATTGGTCAGGCTGGTCTCGAACTCCTGACCTTGTGATCCAGCAGCCTCAGACTCCCAAAGTGCTGGGATTATAGGCGTGAGCACCGCACCCAGCTGAGAATTTATTTACCATTTGGCAACTTACTAGTTAAAAGTTCCTCTCTGCTTGGAAACTACACTTGCTTCCTTTCCTTCTTTCTGTAAAGGAATATTGAAAAATCTGCTCCTTGGTGTCTCAAGTGAAGTTAAAATAGTTCTGACTGGATGTCACCCTGGGCCCACAATTTCTAATAAAATAATAAATATATATCTATAATAAAAGGTAAGGATACAATAAATCTGTAATACTATCTATATTATAAATATATATCTAATAAAATAATAAATAATACCTATAATAAAACGTGCCAAAATAACCCCCTTAGACACCACTTCCCACATGTTTTGAAACATCGTAGAGACTCAGCTGCAAGTATCTCTTACCTTGGAAGGACAGATGTGAACTCTGAGGCCCACAACTGCTGGATATTTAGAGACACACCAGCTCCCCCCTCCTACCTTAGCAGAAGGCTGGACGCTGCACACACTCCTCTGGGAAAACTGGCATTTGAGAGGAAAAAAAGGGTGAATGAGACCTTCCTGAGTCTCTGATTCTCCATGTCCTGCAATTTTTCCCAGAGTGTGACTGAGAAGGTTTATCTGGTGAAGAGAAAACAGAGACCCTGAATGTAGTGGACCTGCAGACCACCTAACATATGGGGAAACTGAGGCAGCCTGTCCTCCTCTTCTTCTCCATGCTCCAGTCTCTCAGGCTTTGCAGTCAGGAGAAGGACCACACTCTCACATTAACTACACCCTTCCCTCACATCTTTCTCTCTCTCCCTTTTTTTTTTTTTTTTAAGACAGAGTGTCACTCTGTCACCCAGGCTGGAGTGTGCAGTGGTGCGATCTTGGCTCACTCCAACCTCCACCTCCCAGATTCAAGCAATTATCTGCCTCAGTCTCCCGAGTAGCTGAAATTACAGGCACCTGCCACCATGCCTGGCTAATTTTTGTATTTTTAGTGGAAATGGGGTTTCACCATGTTGGCCAGGCTGGTCTTAAACTCCTGAGCTGGTGATCCATCCACCTGGGCCTCCCAAAGTGCTAGGATTGCAGGCATGAGCCACAGCACCTGGCCCTCACATCTCTCTTAAGCTTCCAGTGCTCAGGCAAGCTTCCTGACTGAGGTGGCCTCTGCTACCTGCAACCTCACACATCTCCTTGCTTTCCTTCCAGTATTTTTTCAGTTTGTAATTATGTATTAACTGCTGTGACTACATGATTATTATGCCTCTCCCATTATGCTAAACAGATATCACAGATCCTGGATATATATTTTCTTTTTAAAATTGAAGAACATATTGGCGGGGCGTGGTGGCTAATGCCTGTAATTCCAACACTTTGGAAGGCTGAGGCGGCAGGTCATTTGAGGTCAGGAGTTCATGATCAGCCTGGCCAGCATGACGAAATCCAGTCTCTACCAAAAATACAAACAAACAAACAAAAAGGCTAGGCATGGTGGCCCACACCTGTAATCCCAGCTACTCAGGAGGCTGAGGCATGAGAATCTCTTGAACCCGGGAGGGGGAGGTTGCAATGAGCCAAGATTGCACCACTGCACTCCAGCCTGGGTGACAGAGCGACACTGTGTCTCAAAAAATAATAATAATAAAAATAAAATTGAAGAACATACAGAAAATGCACAACTCATAAGACTGCAGCTTAGTGAATATTACAAAGTGAACACACCTGTGTGACCATCGTCCAGTTCAGGAAACAGAACAGTCCCAGAATCCCAGAAGACATTTTTCCTCCTTCCTAAAGCTGACGCCTCTGCTGTAATCCATAGATTAGTTTTGCCTCCTTTTTAGTTTTTAATCTTAAAACTTAAAAAAATATTGAGATATGGCCAGGTGCGGTGTCTCACACCTGTAATCCCAGCACTTTGGGAGGCCGAGGCGGGTCATCGAGACCATCCTGGTCAACATGGTGAAACCCCATCTCTACTAAAAACACAAAAAATTAGCTGGACATGGTGGCGCGTGCCTGTAATCCCAGCTACTCAGGAGGCTGAGGGAGGAGAATCGCCTGAACCCAGGAGGCGGAGGTTGCGGTGAGCTGAGATCACGCCATTGCACTTCAGCCTGGGTAACAAGAGTGAAACTCCGTCTCAAAAAAAAAAAAAAATTGAGATATAACTCACATACAGTGAACTTTACTCTTTATATCCTACAGTCATAGATATATCCTCATATATCTATGAGTTTTGATAAATGCAAACCACAAACTCAATCAAGATATGGAACAGTTCCACCACTCCTCAAACTCCCTTGTGCCCTTGGTAGTCAACCCCTCCCCCACCCCTCTCGAAACTTACTGATTTGTTTCCTTTCCCTATAATTTTATCTATTTCGTTGGGAGTGGGGGAGGGTTGTTTGTTTTGTAACAGGTTCTCCCTCTGTCTCCCAGGATGGAGAGCAATGGCATAATCACGGCTCCTCAGCCTCGAGCTCCCAGGCTCAAGCGATCCTCCCTCCTCAGGACTCCCTCCAGCTCCCCCACCACCAAGTAGCTGGGACTACAGATGCTTGATCCAGTACTAGGGGTTGAGTCGGGGTGTTTGAACTCTGTCGCTCAATGTTTGTGAGATTCATTCATAATGTTGTGTATAACAGTAGTTCACTTGCATTGCAGTTTGAATGTACCATGATTTATTCACATGAATTGGTATGGATATACTACCAAGTATTTATCCATTGCATTGCTGATGGCCATCTGGGTTGTTTACAGTTTGAGGCTTTTACAAATAATGCTGTTAAAAATATTCTTGCACATGTCTTTTTATGCTTATGTATATGCATCTTCTTTACGGCTTGGTGATCCCAGCGTCAGGAAGATGTGCTTCTATGTTAGCTTCTGTAAGTTTCATGTTATCTTTCACACTTAGAGCAATAATTGATCTGGAATTCATAGCTGTGATGGGAGGTAGGGTGCCAAGTTCCTTTTTTTCTTTTCCCTACCTGGATATCCCATTGACCCAGCACAATTAACTCAAAATAGTTTCCTCCCGTACTCTGCAGCCCCGCCTCTGAAATAAATTGTCCATACACGTGTGTTTTTGTTTCTGGTCTCTATCTTATGTTCCACTGGTCTTCTGACTTTTTCTTTTTCAAGATGTTTTTCCAGCTGTTCAAGACCCTCTGAATTTCTATGTAATTTTCAGGCTGCTATCTGGGTGCACTCATCCTGGTCTCCCAGCACCTCACACGCGCCTGGCGCGCGGCAGGAACTCAAGGCTGGCTGCGACCTGGTTGCAGCAGAGATAACGGCAAAGCCTTTCTAAGAAGTTGTACCGGGTTCCAGCAACCCACCCCAACCCCCAATTCCTCCTCGCTCACTCCCTCCACCCGTGGCGCACCCGCAGACGGCGCGGAGGCGTGCCCGCCGCGAAGCGCGTCACTTTCCCCGGGGCCTGCAGGCTCCGCCGCGGCTCTCCCCGCCCCGGCTCTCCCCGCCCCCGCCTCCGCCTCTCAGGGCCGGGCCGGAAGGGTGACTTCGCAGCCTCTTTCCCTCCGCTGCAGCAGCGCAAGCACAGCGATGGCGGCTCCAGAAGGCTGCGGGCCCAGCCCCGACGCCCGGCTGGACCAGGAGACGGCCCGATGGCTGCGCTGGGACAAGGTGAGGGGCGCCAGCAGGCGGGGAGCGCCCGGAAGGGTGCCTGGTGCCGGGTGCTCCGCCCTCCCCAGGCGCGGCATCTGTGCTGCCTTCCCGCCGCGATCGCCCCGCTTCTCCCCCGGGGAGACCATGGAGGAGCGCGCGGCCGCTGCCAGGCTTCCTTCGGCCCGGCCGGCAAGTGGCAAGTTCGGAGTTAGGCCGGGAAAGGTTGTACGCGGACGAAACCAGCTATCCGGCCGGCAGGACTACAAGTTCAGAGTAGAGGAGCAAGCCAGGGTGGTGGTCTAAGTGCGGCCAGACCCTGGACGCTGTCTAGTTTGAGGCCCGCACGCCTTGCTGCCACTCAGACCGCTGGCTCGTCTTCGGTAGTCGGCTGTGCATGCCCATGGACCCAGAATCACTCCGTCCCACCTATTCCTTTGGCCGCTGGGACCTTTGCAGAGCAGCGTTCTAGTCCGGTCCTTCCATCCCGAGGGCTTGGTTACAAACGTGGGTCCTCCCGGGTGGGCCCGCCTGGCTTCAGGAGTACACCTGGGAACTTTGACAGCCCAGGAGGAACCCTCTGGACACAGCACGGTTTTCTCTCCCTTCATTCCCTTTCTTAGATGCTGGACCAAAGAAAGAATCGGGAACCCAGCCCTGGACATCACTCCCTTTCTCCTCTCTAACTTGCATCTCGCCCTTCCTGCCTGTTCTGCTTGCTCTTCCGTTTTCTCGGAATGCCCTTCTCTGCTCTCTTCTGCTGAACTTGTTTCTCCCTTTGTGACTCATATTTTGTGTCTGAACTTAAATGTTGCTTACACAGAGAGTCCTTCCTTGGCTCCGAAGTGTACATTATTTCCCCCTAATATTCCCTCTAAACGGTCTGTGATTTTCTTTTATGGCGCTTGCTGCAAATGGTAAAAACAAAAAACTCCAAAAACACTTATTTGGAGGTTTGTTTAATGTCTGTCTCCAGGGGCAGGAGACCCCTGCCCGACGCCCAGGGCTCCTAGAAGGGCCTACTGTTGTTTTAATGTCCTGCTGTCCTGTCTTGAAAATCTTGATGGTTGAACAAGAGAGCACCTATTTTCATTGTGCACTGGACCTCCATAAATTATGTGGCCAGTCCTGTCTGCTCTCACTGCCTTGGTTTATAGTGCCTGGCATAGGCATAGGGCAGGACACATAGTAGGTCACTAAAATACTTGAATGAACAAAGGAGATAGATTACAAGGTCAGTAGGGGCCAGGTCTTTGTTTACTATTCTCTGGTTCCTACAAATAAAATGTCAGCAAATCCCATTTCCAGGATGCTATTGTCAACTCCTTGGGGGTGTTTTTCTTTTCCTGGGAAGATAACTTTGTGATTCTTAAGGGAAGAAAAATGTTTCCCTTTCTGATAACTTGTAACTTGCAGAGTATAGAATTCTTTTGAAGCCAGAGTTCATAACTGCCCTTTCTCTTTGAAAAAGAAGGAAAAAAAGCAACCTAATGTCTACAGTGTTGCATCTGTGTATAGAAAGATTGTACCAGATGTCCTTTTTATATTTTTTATTTTTATCACTCCTCATGTTCTATCCTCCCTTAATTTCTTATTTGGCTTTGAGACTGGCCCCTGAGAAGAACCCATTCATTCTCCAGTGAACCTCCCACCAGCTAAAAGCATTGCAGTCCTCTAGTCTGACTTCACCCCGTGATTGGCAAGGCACCCTGGCAGGTGCCCTCTGTGTCTCTAGCGTGCCTTCATCCCTGTTCTTTTCTCTGCTGTCAGCTTTGGTCACTCCCAGAGGTGATTCTGATCCTGCTCTCTTGACTTCTTATTCTTATCTTTCTGTCTCATTTGTTTCACTCAGGCTACTTAGTCTTTCATAGATATCAAAGACCAATTAAGATTTTCCAGACCTACATTATGAACAAGGGAAAATCATTTGATATTGGGTGTGGCAGTGAAGTCCGTGTTTTCTGATTCACTCTATGAATATTTATTGAGCCTCTTTTATGTACCCGATCAGAGCCCTTCTTTGGGGGCACCTGACAATCTGATAGGTAAGACTGTATTCTGTAATTAGTATCTGCTGCTTTTCACCAAAAAAGGTGAGATTTACTTGATTCCTGTTGGATCTGCAACAATCTGGAAATGTGGGCTTAATTCCAGAAAGCCAAGGTTTTATTGCAGTAGTGTTCCAGAGTTTAATTACATAGGCACATCCTGCGTGAGTGCGCATCTAAATGGATAATGACTGTAAAACAGGAATAGAAAGTACTTTGTTGTTTTCCTGGATTCGTAATTTAAAAGTCTCATGTGAAATTAATGTGATTGTCATTTTTTTCTTCAACCTTAACATTTTCTGCAACTACTGTACAAAAAAACAGGACAATGTATAATGAACTTAAGTGAATCCTGTTCGTGTCTATTTGAAGCAGTTAATGTTAGAGAAAAGGCACTAGGTTAATGTTTATCATGCAATTTAAGAAAGTCACTCAATCTCTGAGGCTTCCCCATCTGTAAAACTGGTTTTCTGTTATTTGCCTGCTTCTTGGAGATGTTACAAATTCAAACTTGACCAGGTATGTGAATGCCTGATATAAATTATAAAACATTGCAAGGTTTTGACTTAAATTGTGTAATCTGTCACTCTGGAAAATTTGAGAACATTAGGGAGAAAAATGAACATTTAATCACAACTAAGTGCCAGATAGAGAAAGGTATTTTACATTAATTTGAAGTAAACTACCTTAAAACCTTAAAAATTGTGTAAGGAAGGTTCTAGATTATTCCCATTTTGCAAATGGGAAAACTGAGAATTTGAGAACCGAAATAATCTGTGCAAGCACCTAGAGCTGGCAGGTGGAATGCTGAGATTCCATTCTGGGGGTTAGACTCATATGCTAAAACCTGGACTTCCATTTCTCCAAAAGTGCTAACCTTGACAGGAAAGAAAAGAACACTTATGTCAGACTGACTTCATATTTCAAATTTCAAAAGCATCAGAAAATTGAAAGGTGTATATATATATATATATGTGTGTGTGTGTGTGTGTGTGTGTGTGTATGTATATATATATATATGTATTTCCTTATAGGTTAGAATGATATTGTGGGTGTTTTTACTTTTCATTCACTTATTTGTCTGACTGTATTTTTGTCCTGTAGAATTCCTTAACTTTAGAGGCAGTGAAACGACTAATAGCAGAAGGTAATAAAGAAGAACTACGAAAATGTTTTGGGGCCCGAATGGAGTTTGGAACAGCTGGCCTTCGAGCGCCCATGGGCCCTGGAATTTCTCGTATGAATGACTTGACCATCATCCAGACTACACAGGTACCACATTTTTATAATTCTTAGTAACTCAACGTATCCCTCTAGCTCATTTTATATTTGACATACCTAATTTGTTTGAATTATGGACATGCCTTATCAGCTTGGCTAGACACAAGAAGTCGCCACCACTTACTCCATAAAGTAAGGCTTGCACAGTTGGTTGAAATAGCACTTGTTCAGGACTCATATAGCCATCCATTCATTCATTCATTTAACACACTTATTGAGTGCCTACTATGTGCCAGTCATTGGGGATATGAGAATGACTCAAACAAACAGTTTCTCTAATGGAGCTTTCATTCTGGTGTAAATGCACCAGCTAAGCTGACAACTTTTAAGGTCCCGTTATTTTTGCCATAGTTACATGGCAAGTGCTAAAAAGCTTTTCCAACTGCCAGAATTACCAAGAGCCTGTTCTCCTTTGTTTTGTTTATTTGTTTTGTTTTGTTTTCAGACAGTCTTGCTCTGTTGCCCAGGCTGGAGTGCAGTGGCACGATCTCGGCTCACTGCAACCTCTGTCTCCCAAGTTCAAGCAATTCTCCTGCCTCAGCCTCCCGAGTAACTAGGACTACAGGTGCGCGCCACCATGCCCAGCTAATTTTTGTATTTTTAGTAGAGACTGGGTTCCACCATGTTGGCTAGGATGGTCTTGCTCTCTTGACCTTGTGATCCGCCCGTCTTGGCCTACCAAAGAGTTGGGATTACAGGCGTGAGCCACTGCACCCGGCCTCTCCATTGTTGTATTAGTATGGATTGAGTCTGAGTTTCCTTGCCTTAATTTGTGAATATTTTTGTCACAGTCTAGACCCAGCTTTTATGAAGGAGATAAACAATTTGACAAAACAGAAGAGCTTCCACTGGGTATTGGGAGTACTGTTTATGAGGGAAATGAAAAAGAACAGGTTATTCTCGTCAGTGTTTCTTCAACTTAGACCTGTTAATGATGAGTGTCACTTTAATTCTGGGAAAAGAAAGGCTAGAAAAAATTGCCTCCTAGTGATTACATAAGGCTAATATATATATCCCAGTGTAAAAGGAAGAGCTGGGCATGTTGTAACGAAACTCCAATACGGAAAGCATATCTAACTAAGGGTATAGAATTGCCATGGGGGCCAGGCACAATGGCTCACACCTGTAATCTCAGCACTTTGGGAGACTGAGGCAGGTGGACCACTTGAGCTTAGGAGTTCAAGACCAGCCTGAACAACATGGTGAAACCCTGTCTCTATCAAAAACACAAAAATTAGCCAGGTGTGGTGGTGTGCACAAGTAATCCCAGCTACTCAGGAGGCTGAGGCACGAGGATCATTTGAACCCAGGAGGCCAGGTTATAGTGAGCTGACATCACGCCACTGGACTTTAGCCTGGGCAACTGAGCAAGACTCTTTCTCAAAAAACAAAAAAATTAATTTCCATGGGAACTCCTGGTCACAAACTTATTAAGTAGTAGGGCTCCCTGAGACATTGGAGGAGAGACTTAGAATGGGGTGAGTATGGGAACCCTGTTCAGTTTATGGATCACGTAGGAACCTGCTACTAAATAAGGTTGCCTTCTGTGCCAGTTGCTACGGCTGTATAACAAATCATGGAAAATATAATGGTTCAAACAGCAACCACATTTATTTTGCTCACAAGTCTGCAACTTTGGTAGAATTCAATGGGGACAACTTGTCTCTGCACCACTCAGCACCACCTGGGCCAGTTTGGAGGCTGGAACCATTTGAAGGCAGCTTCATTCACTTGCCTGAAATAATTACTGGTGATTGGCTGGGATCTTAGCTGGGGCTGGAACCCCTCCATGTAGCCCGGGCTTCTTTATAACGTGGTGGCTGGCTTCCAGTGGAGTATCCAGAGAGGGAGAGACAGAGAATGTACCAGCTGGAAGCTATACTGACTCTTATGACCTTTTATGACACACAGTGTCACTTCTACCATATTCTGTTTGTTAAAACTGAGTCCGCAAGGCTGTCTCCTCTTCAAAGAGAGGGCACATAGATACCCACTTCTCATTGGAGGAGCATTAATGTCACATTGTAAGTGGAACATATGGGATGGGTTATATGACTGGGGCCATCTTTGGACGATCCAGTTGATCACACCTGCCATTGGGCCTAATTGTTAGGGGTTTCTAAGGGAATCTAGATTAACCTAGAGCTTTTTACCCTGAATTTTTCTACATTTAGTTTCCAAGAATAATGAAATGTATTTCCATTAAAGACCATCTTACCCATTTTCCTCCTAGAAGAATTGGTCTCCTATGAGGGTAAACCCCTTTGCTAAACAAGATGAACAGTATTCTAAACGTCATGTAATTCAGCCAGCCACCACTTGGGATAATTTTCTCCATGAAACCACCACTTTGAAGTGCTCATTCTGCCTATTCTGGATACTTAGAATAGGAGACAGAGATGTGAAGAGTTAAGAAAGTTTTATCTGAGCAGCAGGTGTATTTTTTTTTTTTTTTTTTTTGAGATGGTGTCTCAGTCTGTCACTCATGCTGGAGCACAGTGGTGTGATCTCAGCTCACAGCAACCTCCACCTCCTGTTCAAGTGATTCTCCAAGCAGCAGGTGAATCTTTAAAATCTTAGGAGTGGATTCAAAATTAGAGGCAAGAGAATTCCCAGAACAAATAACAAAGGTTTCCACCCCAGTCTTGGGTAGTGTTCCTTGGCAGAATGCTGATAGGCAAATATATTGGTCACTTTTCACTGATCAGACTTTCTTTTTTCTGAGACGGAGTTTCGCTCTTGTTACCCAGGCTGGAGTGCAATGGCGTGATCTCAGCTCACCGCAACCTCCGCCTCCTGGGTTCAGGCAATTCTCCTGCCTCAGCCTCCCGAGTAGCTGGGATTATAGGCACGCACACCCATGCCCAGCTAATTTTTTGTATTTTTAGTAGAGACAGGCTTTCACCATGTTGACCAGGATGGTCTCGATGTCTTGACCTCGTGATCCACCCGCCTCGGCCTCCCAAAGTGCTGGGATTACAGGTGTGAGCCACCGCGCCTGGCCTGATCAGACTTTCATGGTAGCGTAGGTGCCCTTCCTCCTGGTCTGTGGGTGTGGAGCCTCATTCTGATGTACCCCAAAATTTGCCTGGTTGGTTTAGGAAGCAGATGTATGTGATTGAAAAGCATGTCAAGGGAAACAGGACAGAGGCTGGAGGAAACTTTTGTATGGTTTGCCTCATTGATAGAGGTTATAATTTCCTTCTGCCAATTAATTTATGTTCCATGCTCTATTTTGGTTTCCGTGTTCTTAGGTTATTTAGCCATACATACCAGTGATGGGAAACTCGCTGTCCTCTCAAAGAGGCCATTCCATCTTTGAACCATTCTCATTAAAAGATGGCTTCATTATTTTAAGCCAAAATCTGCCTTACTGTAGACTTTACATATTGGTCTTAGTTCTACTTTTTGAAGTGATACAAATAAGCTTGCTTCCTATGTTTTATAGTAACATTTTATTTCTGAAAATCCCCCTCTTCCCCCACTGAGCCTTTCACCTAGCGTAAGAATTCCCTTTTCCCGTAGCCATTCTTTCAGGTCCTCATCCTCAGCAGGCCTCAGAGATTTTTAGAGACTCTGGAGATGGGAATGCTCTTTGCCTCAGGGAACCCTGGGGCCACAGCTCAAGGGTTGAGCAGGAAGAGGGGAACTGTCACTGTTGTCAATTGTAGAGTATCAGGCATCTGGATATCTTCTGGGGACCCACAAAACCAATACACATGTCCTTACTTCCTTGCATCGCTCAGCCTCAGAAGATATGCTCAGTGTAATGTATTTGCCAAAGAAAAGCTAAAGGCATTCTAAATTAGCATTGGCTGTGATGTATCCCCTCCTACCTAAAATAAAAGTTATGGGTTGGGCATGGTGGCTCATGCCTGTAATCCCAGCACTTTGGGAGGCCAAGGTAGGAGGATTGCCTGAGCCTACAAGATTGAAACCAGCCTGGGCAATATGGCAAGATCCCATCTCTACAAAAAAATTTTTTTTAATTAGCCAGGCATGGTGGCATGTACTGTAGTCCCAGCTACTCAGGAGGCTGAGGTAAGAGGATTACTTGAGCCTAAGAGATTGAGGCTGTAGTGAGCCATGATCATGTCATTGCACTCCAGCATGGGAGACAGAGTGAGACCCTGTTTCAAAAGAAAAAGAGTTACGTATATTTATAAGACTTCCTTTAGCAAAAGTGAAATAAATAATATAAAATGAATTATTATTTTTGCCCAGTCAACCAGAGTTTTCTTTGTTTTGTATGGCTTTGAAGGAGAAAATAACAACAAAAAAATGCTTATAGCAGCAAACACTTAATATGGTACTTAGTTGGTGTTGAATTCTCGGCACTTTGCATGTTTTCATTCATTTACTCCTTATAACAGCCCAATGAGGTGGGTACTGTTGTTATTCCTGTTTCACAGAAGAGGAAACTAACACACCAAGAAATTAAGGAACTTGTCATTTGCTTGTAGTAGCAGCGTGGAGTATAAATTCACAGATTCTGCTTCTAGAGGGTGTGCTTTTAAGCCCTACACTGAACCACCTCTCACCAGCCCTGCGTATAAATTCAGGCTCTACTACTCTAATATCTGAAACTGGACGAGTCACTGTGCCTCTCTGAGCCTTGTTTTACCCATCTGTAAAGTGGGATTTCTGGCCAGGTACAGTGGCCCACACTTATAATCCCAGCATTTTGGGAAGTCAAGACAGCAAGATCATTTGACAATAGTTCAAGACCAACCTGGGCAAAATAGCAAGACTCTGTTTCCATAAAAAAATTTTTTTAAATTAGTTGGGCCTAGTAGCATGCATCTGAGGTGTTAGCTACTCGGGAGGCTGAGGTAAGGGGGATTGATTAAGCCCAGGAATTCAAGGTTATAGTGAACTACGATGTTAGGTTTCACTCAAGGTGATTGGCAAAATATTAAGGGAAATATTAAGGAAAGTTATAAGATACAGTCTCAAACCTTTAAGAAGGACAAAAGGTTTTCGTTAACTTGTAACAATAGAACAGGCTGAAGGCAGCCAGTCTTTACCTTAGAGCAATAGGTCGTAAGGTGAAGGTTAAGGATAACTATCCAACTTTTACTTCCTGGACTGCAGGAAGGGTACTTTCACTAGCCATCTTTTCACTAGAGTACAAAGAACAAAGGAAAACATAAATTGATCCCTTATGCATTTGGGGTCATCCTTACTGCTGTGTTTGATCTCCATTGGCTGGAGCCAGACCTCACAATCTAAACTAAAACCTGATTGGCTAACAACTTAAAACCTTTCTAAACAGGGAAAAGCAACGGAGAACTGGTACATGCCTGAGAGCATGTCCTGCACAGATCTTTTGGTTAAAGTACAAGGACATAGAGTGTACTGTGTGCCTGTAAGCATGGCATGTGTAACAGCTACATAGGATAGGGCTTAATAAAGTTATTAGCACACTTATTCTTTAACAAGAAAGGAAACTTTTTTTAAAGTTTCTACTTCCCACAAGAAGCTTCCCCAGCTAAGTCTGTTTACCCCATATTCCTTTGTCTCTACTAGCTTGCTTACTCATGTAAACTTTGTGCCAGAAGGCCCTCTTGGGGGGAGATCAAAGGGGGATTAACCCGTTAATAGTGTTTGTTCAAGGCCCCAGAACCAAAGCTTTTATCATTCTCAAAACCACTCTTTTAGCCATGTCATTTATCCACAAGCCTGTTGACTTAGAACCTCTGTTATTAAATCTATACTGAATAAATGCAAGGAGGAACAGCTAGTGAGGGGTCGGGTAGCTGCACTAGCATCTGACGACCTCCCTAGCTCACTCATTTACTGGACTTGGTATATGAGTGCATTTTATTCATCTGTCGCAGAGTCAGGGTTTGTAAGACAGACCTCCGAAAGTAGTGATCAATGTCTCAGGTGGTGACCCCAATGTGACCAATGCTACAATGACCGTGCCATTGCACTCCATTCTAAGCAACAGAGCAAGACCCTGTCTCTGGAAGGAAAAAAAAAATTTCCTAACAAAGTTGATCCAAGATTAGAGATGGTAGCTACTAAGTGACCAACAACTAACACAGTGCCTAATACAAAAACATATGGGTAATAAACAAGGCTGTTACTTTCTTTATTTTCTTCTTGTTCAGTTTGTTCCTTACTGAGATGATTTCCCCCCCTCTGCTATAGTGTTATCCTATTAAATTTGAGAAAACATAAATTTTGGCTAATGTTTCTATATTGTATATATAAAAATATGTCAAAACACATACTCTTTTAATCTGTGGGGTATTCATAGGGATTTTGCAGATACCTGGAAAAGCAGTTCAGTGACCTAAAGCAGAAAGGCATCGTGATCAGTTTTGACGCCCGAGCCCATCCATCCAGTGGGGGCAGCAGCAGAAGGTACTTACACATTTTTACAAAATGATGTTTCCGGAATTTACTTTGCAGTTTTATTTTAATCACCATCTCAATAACTTGACTTTAATATATTCATGAGCCTCATTGCTTAACTATAAAAACAATGTGTAAATTCTCTTGGCAACTTTTAAAGATTCCGGTTTTACATTTGGGCCGAGGAAATAAAATTATTTAGACAATTTAGAATGGAATACCTATCTAAATGAAATAAATTTCTTAAACTGGAAATAGTATTTCTCCCTCTCATTTGCCTTGGAATACATAATTTTTTTCCTGGTATTCCTAAGCCTCATGACTCCCTTCCCACTCTTGAATGCTCATGTCGAGCTGCATTTCTGAAACATTCCTAAACCAGTGGGACTCCCTTATGTAGCTGTAGGCATATGATGCTGATGGTGACAATGATCATAGTAATAGCAGCGATCATTTGAGTGCTGATTATGAACCAGACACTTACGTATTTACTCACTCTATCCTCACAGCAACTTGTAAGATATGTACTTTTATCTCTTTACCCTGCAATTATAATGTGAGAGGAGGAGTCACAATTTAAGCCTAAGGAGATTGGTACCAGGGGTCAGCAAACTTTTTCTCTAAAGGGCAAATCGTGGATATCGCACACATTGCATATAACATGAATCCCATCGCCACTACGCATCTTGCCCATGGAGCAGAGAAACATCCATAGACAGTGCACAAACACAGGGCATGGCAGTGTTCAGTAAAACTTTATTTATAAAATGAGCTGTAGTTACTAACCCCTGCTCTTAACCATGTTATGTAACCCTCTTTTTTTACTTGAAGACTTCCACTGTTATGATCAATTTGTAATCATTCCAGAGTATCAGTAGTTTCTTAGATTTGTACATATTGAATATTAACGAAAAGTCTCATTAGCTTTACAGAGCTGGATGGGTTTAAAGAGTCCTATCTTTGCCCATCAGGAGCTTCCAGTCTAAGACAGAAGCACTCATGGGGACAAATGTGTGGCCATGAGAAAGGGTGTGTAGCTGGGGAAAATCACCAGGTGGCATCAGCCCCAAGTTGAACTGAGAATGACATAAGATTTTTAGTTTTCAGCTTTGCAGCTCAAAAAATGTGATTTTTATCAATAAAGCAAGAGAAAAGTTATAGCTCTGGAGGACAGATGTACGTGAGCTCCATTCACAGGAGAATGATGGAGTATAAACCAGTGTTATCAGCTTGTCATTTACAATTAGTGGCTGTAGAGTTAGAACTAGATCATGAGCATGTTCCTCTGCTACCCCAGGGCAGGTCAGATCCTCCGCTCAGAACATGCACAGTGCCTATACATGGCTAAGTCTGCCTGGTGAGCTTCTTAAATTTCTTATTTTAGGCTGACTGCCCTGCGTCTGGTTGATGCAACCTTCAGAGATATGTTAACATTATCAATTAAGGTACAGAGTTTATGCCCTGGCCTTAGAGCCGTATCATTTCCTGAAAGTGATTGATGTTACTGATGTAAGCTTATGGTTCAGGTTGCAGAGTTTGATGGGATGGGATGGAGTGGAACTCAAAGCTACTCTCTATCACCTACAATGTGCAAGACATTCAGAGATCATAACGTAAATGTTTAACCAATACATGGTAAAATATTGGTGATGAGTGAATGGAATCTTCTTAAGGAGTTGGAAATGACTGCAGTTTCTGATTTTCACCTGAAGAAATGTTTATACTTCCAATTTTAAATATCTACTGGGGAACATAAGCAGTAACTGTTAAGTATATGCAGAGAACACATTGCATTTTTTTGTGCACGTTTTTAACATATAAAGAGTGGGGCTCTCTTCTTTGTGCCCCAGCCGGCCTTCAGAACAGTGTTCAATGAAGCTAGTGCTCAAGAAGTATTTGGGGAGAGGATGAATGATCTGATTGTCTATATACCCAGTGATGGTATAATGTTGTTCATTTTAAGTAAATTGCTCATTTATTTTTGTGGTAATATGTTTTACACCAGTATGAAGAAAGATTTGAGGCCATTTTCTGTCTTGCCCTAAGCAAGTTGCTGTGGAAGTTGAGATAAATGTCAAAGAATTTCTTCTTCCAAAGGCTGATTGGAACCAAGATGTGTGTGTGTCTGTGTGTGTGTGTGTCTGTGTGTGTGTGTGTGTGTGTGTGTACACATGCATACTCCAGGATGTCTTATATATTTCAAATAAAGCAATCTCTAATCGAACTCCAGTCTGCATGGTGTATGCTGGGTTGTGACAGGCTTAGGCTGGGATTTCTCAGCCTCGGCACTGTTGACATGTGACTTCACAGTGGCGGGATGATTTCTTGCTGCGGTTGTAGGGTGCATTGTAAGGTGTTTAGCAGCACCCCTGACCTCTCCCTACTAGCTGCCAGGAGCAACTCTCTCCATTCCCCAGTGTGACAACCAAAAATATTTCCAGACATTTCAGATGCCTGGAAGAGGAAGGTGCAGAGTTGCCGTGGCTGAGAACCACTGAGCTAGATGGAGAGCTGAAAGGCCGGGATGCAGCCAGCCCTCTGCCACTAAGTGGCTGTTGGACCTAGGGAAAGGTGCCTGGCCTTTCTTGTCTTAAGTTTCACTTCTGTAAAACAAAGGAGTGAAATGAGATGATTCCTGAGAGTCCTCCAGCTTTGCTGTCCCATTCCAAGGTAAAGATCATAATAAATGCTCTCCTTGATCTGGCTGCCAAATTCACCCTAAAGAACATTCAGCATTCATTTCCTTCTTCCCATCACTCACAGACCTGATAACTCAGCTCTCCTTTTCTTCCCTGTCACTCTGCCTTCTCAGGTTTGCCCGACTTGCTGCAACCACATTTATCAGTCAAGGGATTCCTGTCTACCTCTTTTCTGATATAACGCCAACCCCCTTTGTGGTGAGTAGCTCTTTCCTTTCATAATTTCCTGTCACGTGATAGGGGATGGGACTTGGCTGAATTTTACCGTGTTTAGGGACCAGATTGTTTGAATGACAGAGGAGATCTTTGGCATGTATGAGGCATTCTCTTTTCTCTGCAGGAATGTTTCTCCCACATCCTAGTACTATTTCTTTGCTATTCAACTTTTGATTCTTCGGAATTGGTTTTTTTTTTAAGTGCAGTTTTCCTTTTGCTTGCATTCTAAGGATATTTGAATGAGTTAGCAAATTTGTTTTTCCTTTTTTTTTTTTTTGAGGGCTCTGTTGCCTAAGCTGGAGTGCAGTGGTGTGATCTGGGCTCGCTGCAACCTCCGTTTCCTGAGTTCAAGCAATTTCTCCTGACTCAGCCTCCCAAGTAGTTGGGATTACAGGTGCCCACCACCATGCCCAGCCAATTTTTGCATTTTTAGTAGAGGTGGGGTTTTCTCATATTGGCCAGGTTGGTCTCGAACTCCTGACCTCAGGTGATCCATCTGCCTCAGACTCCCAAACTGTTGGGATTACAGGCGTGAGCCACCGTGCCCAGCCTTTTCTCTGTTTTAAAATTTGGTTTGTAGTTCTTTTTTTCAACTATCACAATTAGGAAACTTCTTGGGTCGAAATCTGAATTCACTCAAACCCTGTCTTGTCATGAGTATTTCTGACAAGCTGGCACACCCTTTTTTATACAAATGTTTTATTCTAAATGTTATTCATGGCTAGTACAGAGAACATGCTTGGCCTGTTTGAGTAAGACGTGTATCAAATCCTTTATGTAGCACAACCTGAAGAAAAAGACAGTAGGGACTGTGACCACTGTTGCTTTGATGCAGACAAAACTTTTTTTGTTTTTTACATTTTTTAAAATTATACTTTAAGTTCTGGGGTACATGTACAGAACATGCAGCTTTGTTACATAGGTATACGCATGTCATGGTGGTTGGCTGCATCCACCACCCCATCATCTACTTTAGGTGTTTCTCCTAACGCTATCCCTCCCCTAGCCCCTCACCCCGCAACAGACTTTGGTATGTGATATTCCCCTCCCTGTGTTCACGTGTCCTCACTGTTCAACTCCCACTTATGAGTGAGAACGTGCAGTGTTTGGTTTTCTGTTCTTGTGTTAATTTGCTGAGAATGATGTTTTTCAGCTTCATCCATGTCCCTGCAACGGACATGAGCTCATCCTTTTTTATGGCTGCATTGTATTCTATGGTGTATACGTGCCACGTTTTCTTTATTCAGTCTATCACTGATGGGCACTTAGGTTGGTTCCAAGTCTTTGCTATTGTGAACAGTGCCACAATAAACATACGTGTGCATGCAGGCGAAACTTAAGAGCTGGACCTGATGCTGAGAGTATGTTTTTGGAAAATGTGATTTGGATGCAGTTACTTACATCTAGTAGAAATGAGACTGTATCACCAAAGAAGGGGGTTCTAAATCATTTTGTGTTTGCTGGCTGTAGTGCACTGACAGGTAGATGCAGCACCGCTAGGCTGTGAATAACCTGGTAGCCACTCTATTCACATCTTCTACATGTAGTTGGGTTTCACTGTTTGATGGAAAAATTGCCATGTATTCAAGCATCCTAATTGCGTTCTGTATTAAGTGTTAATAGCTGTTAGTTTTATATCAGACATGAATTGAACCAGTGTGTTATGATCCTTCGCTTACACTGAGGAGTCGTTCTCCCCTTTTCTTTGGCCCAGGACACCTGAGAGATGTGACATAACTTCCAGGGGGTCAAGTGACTGCAGTGATTCTTGTAGGAGAGTGGAGGGGACAGACAATTTAAATCTCAGGTTGCCTGTGTATAATCAATGTCATTTGCCACATTAGGGGGAGTAATCCAACCCCTCCTCCCATTTTGGGAAGTAATAGAGATGGGAGCTAAGCTGAAATATAAATATTTAACCCTGGAGTGAGAGATAAATGAGCAACCTGTAAAACCTGCAAGAGCATTCTCCATTCCCTCAACTTTTTTTATTTTTATTTTTTGAGACAGAGTTTCCTTCTTGTCACCTGGAGTGCAGTGACACAATCTCAGCTCACTGCAACCTCCATTTCCTAGGTTCAAGAGTTTCTCCTGCCTCAGCCTCCCGAGTAGCTGAGGTTACAAGTGCCTACCACCATGCCTGGCTACTGTTTTTGTTATTTTGGTTTCACTGTTTGCCAGGCTGGTCTTGAACTCCTGATCTCAGGTGATCCATCTGTGTTAGCCTCCCAAAGTGGTGAGATTACAGGCATGAGCCACCATGCCCAGCCCGTTTTTCTCAACCTTTTTTTCCTTAAAAGCAAACGAGAAAGAGGAGGAGAGGGAGAAACAGTTGGAGGCAGTAAGCTGAATCCCCAAACTTCTGTCTCAAGTACGAGCCTTGAAAACGTTGGAGCAATGGCTTAGGCCATCGTTGTGTTTGAAGAATTTTCTAGCTCCACCAAGTAGAAGATGGAATGAGAAGGCACTGAGGAAATTACTTGCCTTTCTTATTAGGAAATGCATCCTGGAATTTTGAACAGCCAATTAGTTCTAAGGGTAATTGCATACTGCTGGGGTGTGGCTCAAAATATTATGTTATTTATATATTATTTTTATTAAAAGGGAGCAAGCTGACAGAAACAATATAAAATAGACATTTTAACGATGTCTGGTTTTTTGTTTAAGACTGTTTGTTCTTGTTTCATGCCGTTGCAGCCATTCACAGTATCGCATTTGAAACTTTGTGCTGGAATCATGATAACTGCATCTCACAATCCAAAGCAGGATAATGGTTATAAGGTATTTTCCTTTTTCTACTCCACACGTACATCCTTCTATAGCAATCCTATATCTGTATCCTTTGGGACCTTAGGTGCCTTATTTCCGTCCACTGTAAACCCTCTGAATGTGTTCCTGGGTTCTCTAGGTGTATTGGGATAATGGAGCTCAGATCATCTCTCCTCATGATAAAGGGATTTCTCAAGCTATTGAAGAAAATCTAGAACCGTGGCCTCAAGCTTGGGATGATTCTTTGATTGATAGCAATCCCCTTCTTCACAATCCGAGCACTTCCATCAATAATGACTACTTTGAAGACCTTAAAAAATACTGTTTCCACAGGTAAATGAATTGTGTCTCCACTGACCTTAAGTGTGTTAAGTTCGTATGATTCAGCCAAATTCTATCACTCTTGATGAAGTTTTTCCCCTTAACTGGTTCATGTACTACAGCTGCATCTGATTTCATTTTATTTTATTTATTTATTCTGAGACAGGGTCTCACTCTGTCACCTAGGCTGGAGTGCAGTGGCACCATCTCAGCTCACTACAACCTTTGCCTCCTGGGTTCAAGCGATTGTTGTGCCTCAGCCTCCCAGGTAGCTGGGACAACAGGCGTGAGCCACCGCACACCCAGCTAGTTGTGTGTGTGTGTGTGTGTGTGTGTGTGTGTGTGTATTTTTAGTAGAGACAAGATATTGGCATGTTAGCCAGGCTAGTCTCAAACTTCTGACCTCAAATGGTCCACCCGCCTTGGCCTCCCAAAGTGATGGGATTATAGGTGTGAGCCACCGCAGCCAGCCAGCTGCAGCTGATTTTAGAGGCTGTAGATTAGACATTGGCAGACTTTTCTTAAAGGGACAGATAGTAAATATTTTTGGCTTTAAAGGCCACATAGACTCTTTCTCAACTAGTCAATTCTGCAGTTTTAGGACAAACGCAGTCAGAGGTGCAATGTCAGTGAAGGAGTGCCAGCAGAAGTGGGTGGCTTGCCCGTAGGCCGTAGTTTGCTGACCTGTTATAGATTCCGTACATGTATGTGATTCATACATATTCATATTCATACATGTAAGTGTGTATGTGTGTGTGTACATATATATGTATGTTTAAAAAACTTGCTCAAAAGTATTAAAGAGTAAACGCTGGTATTTTTCCTTCCAAAAATTTTCTGCATATTTAAGCATATATATATGTATAACATACTTCAAAACCATAAATAGGAATATAGTGCATGTGTGGTTGGTTCTGTGCCCTTTTTCCCCCAATTAATTTGTCATGGACCCCTTTCTATGTTAGTCCCTATTAGTCCTGACTTTCTGTCTTAAAGGTGGCTGCACCTGTGTATTTAACTCAACACCACAGACTCAGTCCTTACTGTTGGGTAGGCAGTGGTCTAGCAGAGTGACAGTAGTGTCTTCTCTCCTGATTGTGACTGTCCCCCTAGCAAGAAAACACTGGTTTCTTTTCCTTCCTCCCTCCCTCCCTCCCTCCCTCCCTCCTTCCTTCCTTCCTTCCTCCTTCCTTCCTTCCTTCCTTCCTTCCTTCCTTTTTTGAGACAAAGTCTCACTCTGTTGCCCAGGCTGGAGTGCAGTGTCATGATCTCGGCTCACTACAACTTCTACCTCCAGAGTTCTAGCGGTTCTCCTGCCTCAGCCTCCTGAGTAGCTGGGATTACAGGCACGTGCCATGCCTAGCTGATTTTTGTATTTTTAGTGGAGACGGGATTTCACCATATTGGTCAGGCTGGTCTCGGACTCCTGAACTCGTGATCTGCCTGTTTTGCCTCCCAAAGTGCTGGGATTACAAGTGTGAGCCACTGTGCCCGGCCAAAACTACTGATTTAAAGAAACTGAACTTGTCAGTTGTCTTTGATACTGAATTCGTTGGATCAGCTGGTAGTGTCCACTCCAATGCAGAGTGTGAAAGCCGAGTCCCATCTGAAGGGAGCAGCTATGCCAGCCAAGTGGCCAAGTGTTGCCTACATGCAAATATAGGTCTCAGTTGCCAAATCATCTGAGTTCTCCTCTTCTCCAGAAACTGGAAACTTGGATTTTGTGTGTGAAATCCCCTAATTCCTCTATATTGGACCATTTTTTAATGGTGTGTAATCCAGACAAAACACATTTGTGAACTTTCCCTCTGCTCCTTTGTTTTAACTTCATGAAGAATGAAGCATTTCTGGTTTTCCACTCCTAGTAGCTAAGGAGTCAGCCCCCTTATGCACAGTATATGTGTGTGCTGAGTACATGTGTGTGTGTACACGCACGTGCATGTGTGCACATGTGTATCCATAACTTTCTGGCGTCAGAATTGTATGTGAATTCACAGAGTTGACAGTGCTTAGCAAATTGCCTTCCAAAAGTATTATACCAGTTGGTGCTCCTACCAGCAGTAGATGATGGCAGTATATGATCTCCACATTTCCTCCTGCACTATGATCCATTTTCTCATTTTTCCTGATTTGCTAGTTGAAAGTAATAGCTCACTTTTATTTGTATTCTTTAACCTATATTTTTCTCTGTATTTGTTCACCTTTTATATTTATAAACATCTTTGTTTATGGAGAAAACTGTTTTGAAAGCTGTTTTTTGTTGTTACTTTTGGAATTTTTTATTGAAACCTTTTGCTGAACTGTTTAAAAACCTTTATAATATTTATTATAATATTTATCATATTATATAATATTCCTAAGGATGACATAAAACCCAGAAGCTATAAAATATTTATTAAATTTTAATTAAATATTAAATTTAAAAATATTAATTATTAAATTTAATAAATATTTTATAGCTTCTGGGTTTTATGTCATCCTTAGGAAGATATGCTGTATAACAAAATTATTAACATAACAATAAATTTTCCTTGTTCTTTCTCTAGAACTCCCATGTTTGTGTTTTGTAATATTTAAATTCTTTGTCTCATTAGTGATTTTTAATTTTATATGAGGCATGAAGTAGGAAAGCAGATTAGGTTTTTTCTAAAAGGTTTGTAGTTGTACCGACATCAATGGAAGAATCTTTTTTTTTTGTTTTTTGACTAATTGGAAAGGTCACCTTTATGAAACAATTTCTAACATTAATCAAGTGCTTATTATGTGTCAGATAACTGTTGGAGAACCTGAATATGTAATTTTTTTTTGAGGCAGAGTCTCATGCTGTCACCCAGGCTGGAGTGCAGCGTCGTGATCTTGGCTCACTGCAGCCTTAACCTCCCAGGTTCAAAGGATGCTCCTGCCTCAGCCTTCCAAGTAGCTGGGACTACAGGTGCATGCCACCATGCCCTGCTAATTTTTTAATATATATTTGTAGAGGTGTGGTTTCACCATGTTACCCAGGCTGGTCTTGTACTCCTGAGTTCAAGCAATCCACCCGCCTCAGCCTCCCACAGTGTGAGGATTACAGGGGTGAGCCACTGTGCCCAGTCAACATATTTCATTTTAATCCTTATAGTAATGCCATTAAATTCGAATACATTGTCATGCATGTTATAGATGAGAAAACTACAGGGAAGAGTGGTTAATAGCCAGCAGTCACATAGCTTATAGATGGCAGAGCTCTAGGATTTAAATTCAGAGTCTGACTCCAGAGCATGCTAACCACTCAGCATTGTTTCATCTGTGTTCATTTTCTATTTCAAATTGGATCAACTTCTGAACTCTCTTCTGTTCCTTTAATCTGCCTTTTTGTCTCTATTACCAAGCTGTTTTAATTACTATAGGTTTATTATGTATTTTAAAATCCAAGAGAGTTTTTTTTCCTGATTTTTCCTCCCTAATCTTACATATTTATTTTTCCACTTGCATTTTGTTTTCAGGGTATGCTTGTTTTAAACCATGGCTCTCTTAGAGAAGACCTTGTTCGTTTATTCCTTCTCAAAAGAAGTGGATAATGACTTAAGATTCCAGCCATCAGAGCATTGGAAATTTTTAAAGTCTTTTACTTGTCTGTAACTTCTCCTGTTAATTTTAACATTTGTTGTTAGTCTGTATGAAGTCCCTAAGTCATGGCATGGTACCAAACAGGATTGTTACCTGGCAAACAAAAAGTTTTATTTTATTTTTATTTATTTATTTATTTATTTATTTTGAGATGGAGTTTTGCTCTTGTTGCCCAGGCTGTAGTGTAATGGTGCAATCTTGGCTCCCCCACCCTCTGCCTCCCAGGTTGAAGTGATTCTTCCGCCTCAGCCTCCCGAGTAGCTGGGATTACAGGCCTGAGCCACCAGTCCTGGCTAATTTTGTATTTTTAGTAGTGACAGGGTTTCTCCATGTTGGTCAGGCTGGTCTCAAACTCCAGACCTCAGGTGATCCGCCCCCCTTGGCCTCCCACAATAAAAGTTGTATTTTTTCTATCTTTATGTATGGGATAACCCATACATTTTGTTAAAAGGGACATTTTGAAAATCATTTCTGAAGCTGATAAAGGACATTTGGAGACCTGTCGCTTTAGGGATGTATGGGTGTGTGGAGCCCTGGAACTGTCCTGGGCTGGCTCTCGCACTGACAGGTGTTGGGCCGGGAGGGAGTCTTGTGTGGGAACATGAGCTTGGGGTTCTTCTTTGTATCCCACTCCAGATGGGATACATAAAACAAAACCTGAAATAATCAGATTTGCTGAAAATAACTACAGAGGAGAATTTAAAACTTGAGTATGTTGAGAAAGGGAATATATATATCTGGGAGAGAACAGATACATTTTGTTTCTTTGAAATGGAATTAGAAAGATATTCAGCGGTCCTGTACATTCTTGCAAACCTTGCAGTTTTGAGAGCCCTATTTCTACCTTTTATCATATTCCACGGTGTGTCTGATTCCAGGAGCGTGAACAGGGAGACAAAGGTGAAGTTCGTGCACACCTCTGTCCATGGGGTGGGTCATAACTTTGTGCAGTCGGCTTTCAAGGCTTTTGACCTTGTTCCTCCTGAGGCTGTTCCTGAACAGAAAGACCCGGATCCTGAGTTTCCAACAGTGAAATACCCAAATCCTGAAGAGGGGAAAGGTGTCTTGGTAACCTATTTTTTCTTTAATTATAAAATCTCCTTTTATATTCAACACTATTACTGTCAAGTAACATACATTTTTATGTGTTTTCATTGTGCTGAAGAAAAACTAATTTCACCATTGGAAATATGTATATATGGCTGGCTGCAGTGGCTCATGCCTGTAATCCTAGCACTTTGGGAGGCCGAGGCGGGCAGATCATTTGAGGTCAGGAGTTCGAGACCAGCCCGGGCAACATGTCGAAGCCCCATCTCTACCAAAAATGCAAAAATTAGCAGATGTGGTGCTATGTGCCTATAATCCCAGCTACTCAGGAAGCTGTCACTAGAATTGTTTGAGCCTGGGAGGTAAAGATTGCAATGATCTGAGATCCCACCACTGCACTCCAGCCTGGGTGAGAGAACAAGACTCCGTCTCAAAAAAAAAAAGGGGAAATATACATATTTGTTACTCATTAATTTCTTTCTTTTTTCTTTTTTTTTTGAGACGGAGTTTTACTTGATTGCCCAGGTTGGAGTGCAATGGTGCGATCTTGGCTCACTGCAACCTCTGCCTCCCAGGTTCAGGTGATTCTCCTGCCTTGGCCTCCCAAGTAGCTGGGATTACAGGCACACACCACCAAGTCTGGCTAATTTTTGTATTTTTAGTAGAGATGGGATTTCACCATGTTGGTCAGGCTGGTCTCAAACTCCTGACCTCGTGATCTGCCCGTGTCGGCCTCCTAAAGTGCTGGGATTACAGGCATGACCCCATTAGTTATTAATTTCTTAAAGGATCTTCCAAAGTAGACACCCCAGGATCAGGATATGAGAGCTGAACTCCAAATGGTGCTTTAAATTCAGTTAATTTAATTTAATTTGCCGTGCCTCCTTAATGCCAAAAAGAAGCAATAATAGAGTGAAGTTTTATCAGGTTATGATTTTTATTTCTTGTCATTTTTTCTGATGTGAAGAAGTATGCTTACAGAATGATTCCTATAACATTTTTAAAGGTTAGGGTAGCAGGGGTATTCGGACTCTCAGTTTACTTTGTTTTATTTGTGAGTCTGATCACACAGCAATGCAGTCCAGATAGATAGAAGTAAATCTCACCTATCAGTATGGATCACCTCAGCTTACCTTTCTCTTAGCTTTTGTTTGCTAAATTTCACTTCTGGAGCTGGTCTTGGTTGGTATTGTGTATTATCTTTCTAAGTGGGGAAAGACCTCTTTGAGTTCTTAAGGAGCTGAATGTTTTTAAAGACTACCATATGCTTGATTCTTGATTAAATAATCTTTTACTTTCAAACTCTTTTTCAGACATTATCTTTTGCTCTGGCTGACAAAACCAAGGCCAGAATTGTGTTAGCAAATGACCCGGATGCCGATAGGCTTGCTGTGGCAGAAAAGCAAGACAGGTAAAATTAATTGTGATTACCTGTATTGTAGAAAGTATAAAGGATGATCTCTTCATTGGTAAAATGTTCCTGAGGAGACGGTACCTATCTGGAAAAATATCCCATTTATTTTGCAAATGATCATTTCACTAAACTTCCTGTGGAGTCTTCTAATGGTGAGAGGTTACATGATTGGCATAATGCAGAGTAAATCAACCCAGTGTATATTTCAAATTGAAATTCCTATTTGGGAGCTTCTCATGTTATAACTGATTTTTATTGTGTGGTTTTTTTTGTTTTGTTTTTTTTTTTTTTGAGACAGAGTTTCGTTCTTGTTACCCAGGCTGGAGTGCAATGGCGCAATTTCGGCTCACCACAACCTCTGCCTCCTGGGTTCAGGCAATTCTCCTGTCTCAGCATCCTGAGTAGCTGGGATTACAGGCACGCACCACTGTGTCTGGCTAATTTTTTTGTATTTTTAGTAGAGACAGGGTTTCACCATGTTGACCAGGATGGTCTCGATCTCTTGATCTCGTGATCCACCCGCCTCAGCCTCCCAAAGTGCTGGGATTACAGGCGTGAGCCACCGCGCCCGGCCAACTGATTTTTATTATAAGTAATGTCTCAGTGTCTGATAAAGTACTTTGGTGCTAGCTATGTGCTTCAGTATTTGCTGAGGGGTTCAGGAGGGAGCTGTACCTTCAAGCAGATGCTGAATTTAGTTTGGACAGAGCAGAGAGGAATTCCTGTGGGGTATCGCCACAGTGTTTAAGACAAGTCTAGCCAGAGAGTTTGTACAAAGGAGAAGTAGGTACATGGGAGCTAAAGTTGAAAGGTAGGCAGGGCCCAAGCAAGTTTGGGTGTCAAGTAGCCTATGTGATGTTTTGGGGGCAGGAGGTGCTGCTGTTAAAAGGATAGGGTTTTAGATTATGATAAAAGAGGTTCAGTTCTGTATCAGTGTTGAGAAAGGTAAGCTAAGGTGATACATCCTTTTAGGTGAGATTTACTTCTAGCCATCTGGACTCTCAAAAAGAGCAGAAATGACACAACTCTTCTCTGATGTTCTGAGCATTTAGGACCAAGCTAGATCTGAAGGGGTAGTGAGATGTCCCGTCTCAGAATCAGCAACACTGACCAGTCCAGAAATTGAGATAGCAACACTTACTGTATATATGGGGGATCTTGCCAGCATATCTGTTATATTTAAAACCAAAGGCTTTGCAAAAGGTTCATATAGAGGCATTGTGTGTCATGTCTGACATACTTATTTTACACAGTCTTCAAAGGCAGGATGTCTGTTCAGGCAAACTGGCTGATATATATGGTAGCTGCTCAGATGTTTGTAAAATGACACTTACATTTCTGCTCAGTTATTCAAAGACGATAAATAACAAGAACAGCCTTGCAGAAAATACTTTGAGGCTTTGTGTGCTGAATTGTTCTATCCCATGACACTCTAGTGTCTTCCTTAAGATCATGGAAATGAATCGATGTTGTTGTTTCTTTTCTTTCAGTGGTGAATGGAGAGTGTTTTCGGGCAATGAGTTGGGGGCCCTCCTGGGCTGGTGGCTTTTTACATCTTGGAAAGAGAAGAACCGGGATCGCAGTGCTCTCAAAGACACTTATATGTTGTCCAGCACCGTCTCCTCCAAAATCTTGCGGGCCATTGCCCTAAAGGAGGGTTTTCATTTTGAGGTAAGGTGTTCCTGGGGCTCGCTCATTTTCCTTTTACCTGCTCCGTAGAAGATCTAAGGCCTGTCTTTCTGTTTTGGATTATCCTTTTAGGAAACATTAACTGGCTTTAAGTGGATGGGAAACAGAGCCAAACAGCTAATAGACCAGGGGAAAACTGTCTTATTTGCATTTGAAGAAGCTATTGGTAAGAAGCTATCGTGAAGGTGAAGGCATTGGTTAAAAAGAAAAAGGAAAAGGTTTGGATTGGAATTCAAGAGGTCTACAGTGAAACAGTTTATTTTGCTTCTCCAGTACTCAGGTTGAATGTTGGAGTGTCCTGCTCCAAAACTGACATCTCAGTTAATTTACAGCCAAAAGGAATGTCTTAAAAATAACCAAGTCATTAATGTGAGAATCCTTTGCCCAGATGACTGAAAATGCTGAAATTTGATGCTTGGCTGCTGGTACATGTATCTTGGGAGTTGTGATGTTCCCCCCACTGTGGTGTTTAATATCCAGGCCTAAACCCTGTGGTATTTAAAGTCCATCCTCCTCCAAAAGTGCTGTTGAGGATCTATGCTAGAGTCTGTCCAGAGGAAAGGAGAAGGAAGGCATGGTTTGCTGCTGTCATCAAAGTGGTAGTCACCCAAAAGGATGACCCAGGTCCAGCCAGACTGACAGAACAACCCTTGTCTTAAACTGTCAATATAAATGAACAGAAAGGAGAGTTAGCTATGGAAATCTGAAATTCACATTGTACCAAACGTTTTTAGCTATCAATTTAGTAAAAATGATTATGCATTAGATTTATTTGTATTCATTTGTATATTCTCTGTAACTACAACACACACATGATTTAATGAATTGAAGAAAGTATAATCGCTCAGGTTCTGCTTTTTTTTGTCACATTTGGCAGACTTATCTTTCTATAACTTTTTATTTAAAAAAATATTTTCTTACACTCATTTATCAAGTATTAATTGCATGTCTATTACTCAGTGACTTTAAAAGAAATATATGACACTGACCTTAGCCTACAGCAGCTTAGATAGATTTAGTTAAATAATCACACACAAGAGTATAGGCCACATGTCAAAATGAATAATGTAACTAATAAATACTATTGGGATTCAAAGGAGAGATATGTATTGACTAGGACAATTAGAAACAATTTCATGAGCTGGAAGGAGGTGCATGACTAGTGAATAAGCACCATGTGGCCAGGAGGGAAAATCTTGTAGGTTCTTTAGCAAATACTTCTTGAAGGCTTGCTATGTGCTAGGCACTGGGCTAAATTCTTAAACATCAGGTAGTTAATGAGAAACATGCATACACGCAACCCTGCACAATCTCTAATATGCAATAGCCAGGATTCATACTCACATGTGGTTTGACACAGTATTGTATAGATGTATTTATAATGTGTGTTTCTGCAGGATACATGTGCTGCCCTTTTGTTCTGGACAAAGATGGAGTCAGTGCCGCTGTCATAAGTGCAGAGCTGGCTAGCTTTCTAGCAACCAAGAATTTGTCTTTGTCTCAGCAACTAAAGGCCATTTATATGGAGTAAGTTGTTATTGACTCTTTTGGATTGAAATAATATTTTGAAATGCTCTATTATATACTTATGCATAAGATACTAATACTCTTTCCAATGTTCTTATTTTGGTAATGAATTCTATTTCTTATAAAAACCAAGTAAGGCCAGACACAGTGGCTCACACCTGTAATCTCAGCACTTTGGGAGCCTGAGGCGTGTGGATCACCTGAGGTCAGGAGTTAGAGACCAGCCTGGCCAACATGGTGAAATCCTGTCTCTATTAAACATACAGAAATTAGCTGGGCATGATGGTGGGCACCTTGTAACTCCACCTATTCGGGAGGCTGAGGCAGGAGAATTCCTTGAACCTTGGAGAGAGAGGTTACAGTGAGCTGAGATCACTCCATTGCACTCCAGCCTGGGAAACAAGAGCAAAACTGTCTCAAAAAAAAAATTTTTTTAAACACTAAATAAGAGATCACCTTTTCCTTTTGATACTTAACCACTTAGTAATTACCATTTCTGATTGCATTAACTCTTAACAAATGACAGCATGAAAGAATGTGATTTTAAATGTCCAATGTCAAAAAAGACTAAATGTCTTTATAGTACATCTATTCATTTTTTGTAGCAGTTACTCCACTCTGCCTTGCTTGTGTGGTGCAAAAGCATCCAGAGACAATACAGAAAGTGATAGGTGTGATGTGGCTGTCTGCGCAAATGCAGGTGGAAGACCAGGCAGTCATTTGGTGATCTCTGGGGTAGATTGTTGGACCTGTTTTCTTTTTTTTTTTTTTTTTTGAGACAGTCTTGATCTGTCACCCAGGCTGGAGTGTAGTGGCATGATCTCGGCTTACTACGACTTCTGCCTCCAGGGTCTCCTGAGAAGCTGCGATTACAGGCTTGCCCATGCCTGGCTAATTTTTGTGGTTTTAGTAGAGATGGGAGTTTCACCATGTTAGCCAGGCTGGTCTCAAAATCCTGACCTCAGGTAAACTGCCCACCTCAGCCTCCCAAAGTACTGAGATTACAGGTGTAAGCCACAGTGCCCAGCCTGGACCTCTTTTTTAATGGTCTTTTAAAAATTATTCCTCTTGAGTTAGTTATGGCCATTACATTTATTTTATCTTTTTTTTTTTTCTTCATTTTTTGCAATGGAATCTCACTCTTGTTGCCCAGGATGGAGTGCAGTGTGTGATCTCAGCTCACTGCATCCTCCACCTTCCAGGTTCAAGCGATTCTCCTGCCTCAGCCTCCTGAGTAGCTGCGATGACAGGCACACACCACCACACCCACACCCGGCTAATATTTGAATTTTTAGTAGATTCCAGGTTTCACCATGTTGGCCAGGTTGGTCTCCAACTCCTGACCTCAAGTGATCTGCCCACCTCAGCCTTCCAAAGTGCTGGGATTACAGGTGTGAGCCACTGTGCCCAGCCGTATTTCTTTTCGAATACACTGGTTGGTACATGTCCTGTGTCCACCCTGCAACATTATTTGTTCCTCATATTGCATGAATTTGTATTTGTTTGATAGGTATGGCTACCATATTACCAAAGCTTCCTATTTTATCTGCCATGATCAAGACACCATTAAGAAATTATTTGAAAACCTCAGAAACTACGATGGAAAAAATAGTTATCCAAAAACTTGTGGCAAATTTGAAATTTCTGCCATTAGGGACCTTACAACTGGCTATGATGATAGCCAGCCTGATAAAAAAGCTGTAAGTAATGTCTTCTCTGATCAACTAACCTCTTTGCTATTTACCTTCTAAAATAATTTGAATACATTGTTTAATCATACTATTCATTGAAGCTGATTTTAGGCACTTAGGCGTGATTATAAATAAGCTGTAAAAAAAATATACGGAAGCCAGGTGTGGTGGCTCATGCCTGTAATCCCAGCACTGTGGGAGGTTGAGGTGGGCAGGTCAGTTGAGGTCAGGAGTTCAAGATGAGCCTGGCCAACATAGCAAAACCTAGTCTCTACTAAAAAATACAAAAATTAGTTGGGCGTGATAAGTTAAAAACCACAAGCTAGAGCTAAAAGAGATTCTACTAGGCTGGGTGCAGTGGCTCACACCTATAATCCCAGCACTTTGGGAGGCTAAGGTGAGTGGATCACTTGAGGTCAGGAGTTCAAGACTAGCCCGGCCAACATGGTGAAACCCCATCTCTGCTGAAAATATAAAAATTAGCCAGGCATGGTGGTGGGCACCTATAATCCCAGATACTTAGGAGAGTGAAGCAGAATTGCTTGAACCTGGGAGGCGGAGGTTGCAGTGAGCCAATATTGCACCACTGCACTCTAGCCTGAGCAACAGAGCAAGACTTTGTTCCCCACCCCTCAAAAACAGCGAGATCATACTAGTCATCTAAGGCTGTGTGGTCATTTAGTGCCTTAGGCAGTAAGCGCTCAGAAGTGTGGAACCTGTCTATGGTCACAAAGCTTAGTTGGTGGGGGTCCAGGGAAAATCTGGGTTTTCTGACTCAGGATCCAGCATGTTCTTCCTGCCAGGAGTTCATGCACTTGCAGGAGCATCAGTAACCTAGAAGGCTGATGAAAACAGTGCTGGAGCCCACGCCTGGACCTTCTCATTCAGTAGGTCTGGGGTCAAAAATGTGCGTTTCTAACAAGGTCCCAGGTGGTACTGATGCAACTGGTCCTCACTTTGAGAACCACTGTTTGCTTTCTAGTTAGTTTACTCTGTTCTCTGAATGTATGGGAGCTGTTGGCTATAAAGCCTGAGGTTGCATTCTTCACGCCATGCAGATTCTTCACTGGAGTCAAAAGAAGATCCAAAGGTAGCAGAAGAGCGTTGCTGACTATGGCAGGGAATTGGGGGAAGAAAGTAAGAATGTCCTTAGATTATTGGCCGGGTGTGGTGGTTCACACCTGTAATGCCAGCACTTGGGGAGGATGAGGCAGATGGATCACCTTGTGACCAGCCTGACCAACATGGTGAAACCCAGTCTCTACTAAAAATACAAAAATTAGCCAGGTGTGGTGGCAAGTGCCTATAATCCCAGCTACTAGGGAGGCTGAGGTATGAGGATTGCTTGAACCTAGGAGATGGAGGTTGGAGGTTACAAGTTGGAGCCAAGATCGTGCCATTGCACTCCAGCCTGGGTGACAAAGTGAGATTCTGTCTCAAAAAAAAAAAAAAAGTGAATATCCTTATGGGATGTTAGGCACATTCTTTGATATTTGCCTTTTTATATTTTTCATTTTATCTGCACACAACATGTTTTAAAAATATTAATAATAAGAAAAAGCTTATGGTAAAACATGGCAGTCCCACCCCTGCCACCTCATTGCCATGCCACCAGGGCTAGATCTGTAAATAACGTGCTCATATAGTGATGTTATGACATATTACTTTTACAATTTGTTCATTTTCTATTTCAGAGATAAAGATTTAGTTCTTGAGGTCAGGTGTGTTGGCTCATGCCTGTAATCCCAGCACTTTGGGAGGCTGAGGCAGGCAGATCATGAGGTCAAGAGATCACGACCATCCTGGCCAACATTGGTGAAAATCCATCTCTACTGAAATATGCAAAAATTAGCTGGCCATGGTGGTGAGTGCCTGTAGTCCCAGCTACTCAGGAGGCTGAGGCAGGAGAATCGCTTGAACCTGGGAGGCGGAGATTGCAGTGTGCCGAGATGTCGCCACTACACTCCAGCCTGGTGACAGATGCACTCCAGCCTGGTGACAGAGTGAGACTCCGTCTCAAAAAAAAAAAAAAATTTAGTTCTTACACTTTCTAGATTCAATATTCCCCTTTTCCCCATCCTCACAATGCGTTTATGCCACAGCTTTTGGTTAAATCAGATTCCGTGCTTTTGTTATTATGACTAGTAACTGCTGTTGCCTGCTAGCTAAGTAGTGTATTTTTATTAGGTTTTCCTAATTCGTATAGAGAATTATACTCCCTGTAACTTTTATTTTATTTTATATTTTGAGACAGGGTCTTGCTGTGTCACTTAGGCTGGAGTGAATGGCACGATTACAGCTCTCTGTAGCCTTGACCTCCCAGGCTCAAGTGGTCCTCCCACCTCACTCTTCTGAGTAGCTAGGACCAAGGGTATACCTTGCCTGGCATTTTTGTTGTTGAGACGAGTCTCTCCCTATGTTTCCCAGGCAGGTCTCAAGTGATTCTCTTGCGTTAGCCTCCCAAAGTACTGGGATTACAGGTGTGAGCCACTGTGCCTGCCTTATCTCATGTAATAATAGTTGCTTTGTTCTTCCATTTGCCTGGATTTCTACGCACCTATCAGTAGTTTTTCCCAGATCCTTTAAATGCCTCTCAGTAGGGTTTTCCCAGTCCATGTCCAGTGGCCGCCCTCCTGGTTCCTCCACCTGGACAGGGCCAGCTGCTTTCTGGGTTGGGTGCACAGCTGTCATCCTGGGAATGTCCTTCTCCAGGGTTGAGTCCCTTGCTCTTAGACCTCATGGCCTCCTCTTACCATATTTATTTTCCTAGATCACATCCTCTAATCACTTTCTGAGAAAAAGTAATTAGGAAGTAAGTTTTTTGTGACATTTAAGTCTGAAAATGCCTTAGTCTATCCTCACACTTCATTGACGCACAGTTTTGAAAGTGTTGCTATTACTTTTGGGCTTCCAGCATTGCTGTGGAGCCTCCAATCCTTTCTTTTTCAGCAAATAGTTGAGGCCTATTACATGCTACGTGTAAGGTTATTGATGCTCTACTTACTCAGTCCTTTCCATGAAACTTGTTTTGTTTGTTTTTTCCTCTGGGAAGATTTTAGGAACTTTTCTCTAAACTTCAGGTTCTGAAATTTCACAGTGATGTGCTGTGGTGTGAGTTCCTTTTTATTCATGTTTCTGGATACGTCGTCTGTAGAATCATTTATTTTAGTTCTAAGAAGTTTTCTTGATTATGTATCAAGAAAGGGTGCTAATTGGTTGATTTTTTAAAATAATCACCTCACCTGCATTTTCAGTTCTTTATTTCTCTATTTATTTATTTATTTTGAGATGGAGCCTCACTCTTTCGCCCAGGCTGGAGTGCAGTGGTGCCATCTTGGCTCACCGCAACTTCCGCCTCCCGAGTTCAAGTGATTTTCCTGCCTCAGCCTCCTGAGTAGCTAAGATTACCGGTATGCACCACCACACCCAGCTAACTTTTGTATTTTTAGAATAGATGGAGTTTCACCATGTTGGTCAGGCTGGTTTCAAACTCCTGACCTTGTGATCCAACCACCTCGGCCGTCCAAAGTGCTGGGATTACAGGTGTGAGCCCCTGTGCCCAGCTCAATTTTTCATTTCTTAAAGAGTTCTTAAATGTTGGTTCTCCAAAACTGATGTTCTACTTTTCTTGTTTCTTTCTTTCTTCTGTTTTTTGGGAGACTTCCTCAGCTTTAGCTTTCAGTGCCTCTGTTGGCTATTTCAGTTTTAATCTCTAATTTATTAAAAATAGTGCCCTATTGAAACAGGGTCTCCCTCTTTCACCCAAGCTGGAGTGCAGTGGTATGATCATAGCTCACTGCAACCTTAATCTCCTGGGCTCAAGCCATCCTCCTGCCTCAGCCTCCTGAGTAGTTGGGACTGCAGGCGTGTGCCACCATGCCTAGCTAAGGTTTTTTAGTTTTAGTAGAGACAGGATCTTGCTGTGTTGCCCAGGCCGATTTTTTTAAATGTAAACAATGTCTTATCTTTCTATAGACCTAATTATAGCTTTTAAAAAATATAGGTCTTCTTCTACATTCTCTTTATCTCCACCAAGTTCTTTTTATTCTGTTTGTTTCAGACTTTGTCTTTTATTTGATGTCTTTCCCCAAAAGTCTGATGATCTTTAATTATCTTTTGAGCACCTAAGAGCTGATTGAAAGTTCGGTGTACATGTGCAAATCAAATGGCATACTTTACTCAGAGGATATTGAGAGCAAGTTAGCTTTATAACGGGATCCCCCTATCTGATTTAATGAGACCTTAATCACCTACCCAAAGATTCTAAGATGAGATGCGCAGGCCCTGGTGGCATGACGGGGCGGAGCTGAGGGTGTCAGCCTGAGGGCTTTTACTTGATCCCTCAGTTTTCACCATGTCCTGCCCAGGTTCCCCAGCTCCTGAATGTTTCTGGTTTAATTTTTAGATAATTTAAACTATCTCCTGCAGAAATAGAGAAGAGGTGGTTCTGTGACCACATGGGCTGGGAGAAGGGAACCAGGAGGGTCTAAGAGCATCTTTCAAATGCTGTTCCTGCTTTCCGCCCCTGCCTCACACTTGCCCTTTGCAGTACCTGGTGCCTCTGGTTCTTGAACCTGGCCAGGATTCTACACAGCACCTTGCCTCAGTTCTCATCCCTGTCTCCTTTTGCAGGCACTCAGATTTCATTCTCTGGGTCCCACCAGACCGGTGCTGTGCCTCCATCTGTTTTCTGACTTGCACCATTGGTTGGCAGCCCCATCAGCTGCTATCTCCTCTTTGTCTCTTTGCCCATGTGTTTATGCTATTTAAAGTACCTCTGTAATTTTAATGGAGTTTTGGGACCTATCAAATATAAATATACCATTTCCTCAAGACCGTTTTTCTTCTCTAACCAATAAATTTGTTTGGCCTTTATTTTCTTACAGAAGCCTTCTTTTTTGAGACATAGTTTCACTCTGTTGCCCTGGCTGGGTGGGGTGCACTGGTGCAATCTCGGCTCACTGCAACCCCAGGTTCAAGCGACTCTCCAGCCTCAGCCTCCTGAGTAGCTGAGATTGCAGGCACCTGTCACCATGCCCAGCTAATTTTTCTATTTTTATAGAGAGGGGGTTTCGCCATGTGGGCCAGGCTGGTCTCCAACTCCTGGCCTCATGTGATCTGCCCGCCTCAGCCTCCCAAAATGCTGGGATGACACATGTGATCCCAGCCTGGAAGCTTTATTTTTTTTAAAAAAAAATCTCCTTTTGTACTTTTTTTGGGCAAAGATTCACTTTGTAACAGTAAACTATGGTCTAGCTTTTTTTCTTTTTTGTAGTGTATTATTAATCTATTTAAATCTTTTGCAAAATGATGTGTTTTAGTAAAACTTTAATAACTTCAATAGAACTAGGGAAGTAAAAGCTAATACACAAAGTTACTTAATTTTCTTTTTTAAAATGAATTTAGTTCTGTTAATTCACCAATAAAAATTGTATATATTTACAGTGTACAATCTGTTTTTAAATAATGTATACATTGTGATGGCTAAATCAAGTTAATTAGCATATATTACCTCACTTATTTACGTATTTGTAGTGAGAACACTTAAAATCTACTCTCTTAGCAATTTTCAAGTGTATGGTACATCATGATGAGTTGTAGTCACCATATCGTACAATAGATCTCTTGAACTTTTCTTCTGTCTAACTGAAACCTTATGCCCTTTGACCAGCATCTCCCCAAACTCCCCCTCTCTTATCCCCCCACCCCCTCGCCATCAGCCCCTGGTAACCACTACCCTACTCTCTGCCTCTGTGAGTTCAGCCTTTTTGGATTTCTCATAAAGGTGAGATCATGCAGTATTTGTCTTTCTGTGCCTGGCTTATTTCACTCAACATATAATGTCTTCCCGGTTCATCCATATTGTTGCCAATGACAGGATTTCCTTCTCTTTTAAGGCTGAATAGTATTCCATGTAGTATGCCACATTTTCATAAATTATTGTTATTTAGTATTTCATTCTTTTAGAGTACATTTTCTAATTTCCTCCAAAATGTTTTTCTTTTCTAACCAATAGATTTGTTTGGCATTTATTTTATTTTTATTTTCTTACTTAAGGGAAGATATTGGTTAGGGCAGAATCGTCTGTGTTACTATTTAAATTTATAATGTGTGCGTTCATTCCTAGGTTCTTCCCACTAGTAAAAGCAGCCAAATGATCACCTTCAGCTTTGCTAACGGAGGCGTGGCCACCATGCGCACCAGTGGGACAGAGCCCAAAATCAAGTACTATGCAGAGCTGTGTGCCCCACCCGGAAACAGGTATGACGTGGGTGGCAGCTGGTGAGATTTTTACTCCCCTGACTTCCTAACTGGTCCTATTCAAGTGACAAGTAAAATATTCCATGTAGTTTAATTAGAAATGCTGTTTCGGAACCTGCACTAATATCGTGATATTAACAGCCAGTCTGAGCATCCAGGAAAAAGCTTACTTTTTGCTTTCTTACTTTTGTCCTAACTTTCTTTGTGTCGGAAAATTTTATCCTTATTACAGTGTAGTAATACAAGTGCCTTTTTCTAAACGCTTTTCATTGGTGGCTAGCACCAGTGAGATTTTCTCTTTTTCTCAAACTTCAGTCTTCCTATGGCTCTGATAAAATAAATTAGAATCCATTCTACATGCATTCAAGAAATGTCTTTGAGTACCCATTGTACACAGGTCTGTGCTGGGTTCCTGAGGGGCGCAGAGAGCCTCATCAGAGAGAGTCCTTGCTGCCAAAGCACTGATGGGCTGGTAGCTTCAGGTTCAAGTTTCTGTGACCTCAGTAAAGAGTTTGAGTTGGTCAGTCTCTAACAACTTAACATATTGCACCTTAACAAGCTCAGTGCATGTCCTTAGTGTGTGTAAATGGGATGCTGCATGCCTATCCAGCATGTAGTTAACTGGCACTTCCCTATTCAGAATACAGTTGAAAATCAGGAAATGTTTTTGTAAAAGGTTAATTAAGTCAGTGCTGTCTGATGGAACTAAAATGCAATCCACAGATGCAATTTTTGGTTTTCTACTTGTCACCTTTTAAAAGAGTAAAAAGAAACAGATGAAATTAATTTCAATAATTTATTTTACTTAATCTAATGTATCCAAAAAATCATTACAACATGTAATCAGTGTAAATATTATTAATTAGATGTTTTATGTTCTTTTTTTTTCCTTTGGAAGGCCTCAAAATTAATTCTGTAATTTTACACTTACAGTATGACAAACCAAAGTTTTGCTCATAGAAAAGCTTTTCCAGCCTTATGAATCAAACTTGAATTTTGTGCAAATGAAAGAAGGTGAAAATTCCTGAGCATCTTAAATTGTCAAGCTAGTAGCACATTAAATATAGCAAATGAAAGGAATGGAGAAAGAATTGTAACAAAGTTTTCTTAGACAAGGGGAAGGAAATATTAAAACAAAACAACTCTATAAAACATGGACACAAGAACTTGGAAAACTCACCACTCCATAAGTTTATCATGAGGGAAATAGCGTTCTGTATCCAGATGAGCCCAGAATACAGCTCCAGTCCAACAAAGTCATGCTTGTGGCTCTCAAATGTCAGATGTCCAATAAAGAGATATTTAAGAAGTCATGGGACTTCATAATCTCTTTTCACTGTGGATTTCCATTCAAAACCTTTTTATGCTTAAAGTACAAAAACTCAACTATTAAGTGAACATATAAAAGTTGATTTTCTAAGAAATCTGGATTACCAGTGTTTTATTGTAATATTATAAAAGAATGGTGTTCTCATGTGCATTCGATAATAAGCTCTTTGCTGCTATGTTGCATATAGTTTTTCATAAACATTTCTATATAATTCTTTCTCATTTAGTGTTTTCTTATTTCTTTTAAAAACAGATGAACAGTCCAACTTAAGGATCTCCTTTTTCTATATCTTTGTCCTTTCCTTTTCATTATCTGATGAAAACATATCATATTTCAGAAAGCTTTCCTTTGTAATAATAACACTTTAAATGTTTAAGTCTATGGTATTAAAATTTTTCAGCTGGCTTACTGAGTGGACTTAAATTCAAATACTAACTTATAAATTAATTTTTAAAAACTTTGAAAATTTGTCCTTTTATTATATTCATTGAAACATTGCTTCCATCTGTTCAATGAGACGTTAAGCACTGTGTCAGTTGATTGATCTGTGGTCAGGGCTTAAGCAAGTCACCAACATACCTAAAAAGCAATAAAGTCTTTTTTTTTTTTTTTTTTTTTTTTGAGACAGGGTCTCTCTCTGTTGCCCAGGCTGGAGTGCAGTGGTGCAATCTTGGCTCACTGCAACCGCCTCCCTGGTTCAAGCGATTCTTGTGCCTCAGCCTCCTCAGTAGCTAAGATTACACCCAGCTAATATTTTTGTATTTGTTTTTAGTAGAGACAGTGTTTCATCATGTTGGCCAGGCTGGTCTCAAAATCCTGACCTCAAGTGATCCACCAGCCTCAGCCTCCCAAAGTGTTTGGATTACAGGCATGAGCCACTGCACCCAGCCAGGGATAAAGTCTTGACTAAGATTTCCTTCTTTCCTGAAAAGCTTAAATATTATTAATATGCTTTATGTCATGGATTTCAGTTATTCATAGAATTTCATGACCTTCTAATCAACTAAGATGGAAAATCCTGTTTAAGTATGTGCTGCTTTAAAAATACTTTTTTGGGCCGGGTACAGTGGCTCACGCCTATAATCCCAGCACTTTGGGAGGCCGAGGCGGGTGGATCACGAGGTCAAGAGATCGAGACCATCCTGGTCAACAAGGTGAAACACCGTCTCTACTAAAAATACAAAAATTAGCTGGGCACGGTGCTGCACGCCTGTAGTCCCAGCTACTCGGGAGGCTGAGGCAGGAGAATTGCTTGAACCCAGAAGGCGGAGGTTGCGGTGAGCCAAGATCGCGCCATTGCACTCCAACCTGGGTAACAGGAGGGAAACTCCATCTCAAAACAAGACAAAAACAAAAACAAAATACTTTTTTGTCAGGGGAGATGTCTTTAGTTTTGCCCGACTTTCTATTTTGAACAGTTTTAAACCTACAGAAATGTTGGAATAAGAATGCAGTGAATACCCACGTGCCCTTCACTTAACCAAACTTTTTATGTAAAGAGCCAGATAGTAAATATTTTAGGATTTGCAGGCCATGTGGTTTCTGTCACCATTACTCAGCTCTATTATTGTAGTAAGAAAGCAGCCATATGCATAAAGGAATGGGCATGGCTGTGTTCCAGTTTTACTTGACATGAACCACAGTTTTTTGACCCCGATCCAGACTCAGAAATTGCTAACATTTTGCAGTGTTTGCTCTCTTACTATATATGTTATGTATTTGAGGTTTTTCTGAACCATTTGAAAGACTGTGATACTTCGTGACGCATCATAAGACTTCCTGATACTTCACTCGTAATATTTCAGTATGTGACTTAAGAACAAGAACATTCTCTTAATATCTTAAGGCAAATAAGTAATAATGGTATGAGGCAGGGTTCCAGTGAACCAACAGAACCAGCAGAATGTATCTATTAAGAGATTTTTTTGCAAGGAATCAACTTGTACAATTGATTGTGGGGCTGGCTTGGCAAATCTGAAATCCACAGGGCAGGCTGTCCAGAAAGGGACCCTGGAATTCACAGGTATGGGTTAAAGTTGGGGAGAAATAGCATGGGGAGAAATGCCAGATATAGATGATGGAGAGGAAGGCAGCAAATTACACTGCCATGTGTATACCTATGTAGCAATCTTGCATGTTCTTCACATGTACTCCAAAACCTAAAATACAATTTAAAAAAAAAAGTTGCAGTCTAGAGGTGGAATTCTTCACGAAAACCTCAGTTGTGTTCCGAATGCCTTTCAGGTAGAATCTAGCCTATCTACATTTTCTAGGATAATCTTCTTTCCTTAAAATTGACTGATTATAGATATTAATCACACCTACAAGATACCTTCACAGCATCACAACATTACAGTTTGAATAACTGGAGACAGTAACCTAGCCAAAATGACACGTAAATTCAAACATTCGCAAAAGTCAGTAAAATAGCTGTTTTCTCCCAATCTGTAATCAAGAACACTGCATTTAGTTGTAATTTAGCTTAAATGGTTTTTCAGAGTAGAGAAAAATAAATGCCTAATTACACATGATACTTTCCTAAACATTCCGATAAAGAGATCCATCTAAATTTAGACTTTTCAGAAACAGAAATTTCTAACCCTGGTTAAAATGATCATAGGATGTGTCCTGTTGTTTTTAAAGATGTCAGGAAATATTCTCAAACATTAAGTTAACAAGTGGAACAGTTATTGATTAGGATGGAGAATAGTAAGATAAGTCTAACTTTGGTTTTAAGAATTATTACACCACGAAATCTTACACTGTAATACTGATTTCTTTTTCACACGTAAAAATTCAATATCAAAAATATCAATATATATATGAATCATAATGTTCACACATGTCATGATTAAAAAATAAACTTGAATAATAAATTAGTAATCAGTAAATTCACTGAGTTTTAGTTTTAATTATACTTGAAAAGATTATTAGCTTATTGTGCCTTCCTGAGAACCGTTTCCTTCAAAGCACATTTATTGAGACAGAAAAGAAAACTGATATAATTCACATGTACTTATAAAGCATAATTACTTTATATGTTGCCAGTAGGGATAAAAATAATTATAATGATAGCTACATTTATTGAGGTCTTTGGGCCGGGTTCAGTGCTAATTGCTTTATATAATTTGTCACAATCTGTACAGCAACTCTCTTGAGAAGGTAAAGCCTTATCCCAATTTTACAGATGAGGAATCTGGGTCTTAGAGAGGCCAAGCCATTTGCCCAAAGGCACATAGCTAGTAAGTATAGAGCCAGAATTCATGTCGACAATGAAATAGCTTGCTTTAGTAGTACTGTTTAGCTATTACAATGTTGACATGATTTTAACTAATTATAGGGATTTCCATTAAAATAAATTTTGCATGTATTAAAGATGATATGAAGAGTGTGAAGTAATGGAAAGTACAAAGGATTTCGTTTTTTAAATTCAGCTTTTTAGTGTTAAGTACTTACATTACTCACACTAGGCTACTTAAGATGCTGGAAACCTGTTTAACTGCAAGTCAGCTTTATCTGTTATTTACCTTTCAAATGTTTGTATATAAATGAGTGTTTCCCATGGCCTTGAAAACTTGATTTTCTTAGAGGGATCTATGTCCCCAGATTCTTGTTTATACTTTAGTTGTGACTCTTTGGTTCTAAAAATAGATAGATTATGATAAAACCACAGGGGTCTGATTTCTTGGTGTTGGACTCCTCAAACCTACCCGGAGGCTCCCCATCGCTGTCCATTCTAGGAAGGCCTTATAGAAGGCTGTAGCTTAGTTGCCAGTAGTTTGAGGGCAGACATCATCATGAGTGTCTGTATTCTGGGAGACTGAGGAGTTAACAGAGATGTTGCTTGTAAAAGTTTAGCAGGATTTAATGGCAACTGACATCATCGAAGTTTTCTCTACACCCTCAGGTACAAATATTATAGATCTTTTAGGGATGTGAGGCCAAAAATTGTGTTTCTTATAAATTCTTATGAGAGGAGCAAAGGATAATTTTGTTTATAGTTCAGACCTTGGAAAAAATCTTTGGGGAAAATAATGCATATTGTCTCATGGGGTGTTTTGTCTAAGTCAACAGATGTGTTCCATGCTTAAGCCTCTGGAATTCTGTTTTCCGATTTAGTCTTCTTCTTAAGATTATATTTTAATGTCACTTGGTCAGTAGGGGAAGCATTTAAACTGTGCTTTGGAATAATCCCTTGACCTGGATTTTTTTCCCTCTTATTTTCCAGTGATCCTGAGCAGCTGAAGAAGGAACTGAATGAACTGGTCAGTGCTATTGAAGAACATTTTTTCCAGCCACAGAAGTATAATCTGCAGCCAAAAGGAGACTAAATACTCCAGCCTTGGGTATACTTGCATTTACCTACAGTTAAGCTGAGTTTAAATTGTTAAGCAATATTTTTGAGGGCCAAATGATTCAAAATATTACAAGTATTTATATGTTTCACAAAGACCTACATTCCTCATTGTTTTCTGTTTGATCTTTAAGGTGAAAAAAGAAAAGATGGCCAAACCCAGCAAACCAACATTCCTACTAACAAGTTGAGCTTGGATGTATTTTGAATTTTTTCAAATATGAAGATTTTTAAACTAAAAAAAAAAAAAAGATTGTAATTGATGTGCCTTAATTTGCATAAATCATAAATGTATGTCCTCTCTGTAATTCTTTTTATGTGTGCTTCAAATAGCCAGAAAACCTATGCAGTTAGTAAATTCTGGGCTGTCATATGTGGGATAGCCACTTTTTAGGTATATGTACACTTATGTTTCTATCAATTCCCTATAAAGTAAAGTAAATGAACGGATCAAATGTTGTGTTCATCTTTGGGGAAAATATGATTTGCAGGAACCTGTGAAATGGAGCAAAAGATGCCTTAAAAGATAAGGATTTTTGGACTAGATTTTTTTAGTTCTATTCATGCATGTAGCATATTAGTACATTGTACATGTGCTAGGAAAAAACAGCTTCACTGTTTAATGTGTTGGAATTCATTTTACCTTTTTAAATCTGGAAACACGAACAGTTGTTTACTTGAAACTCAAAAGTTGTATATTCTGATTTTTGTTTTGTTTTTTGTTTTTGTTTTTGTTTGCATTAGCACAATTTAATGTAATTCTTGGTTGGAGGCAGCAAGACCTGTAAGCAATAACTATTTACCTGACCCTGATTTTTTTCTCTTGTCCTGTGTGATCTAAAATCTAAGACTAGATTTTATTATGATAGATTTCCTATGAGCAGATTTCTAATAGCAAATAGATTTGTTATTTAATCTGTATGTTCTATCTTCTCATAATTCATGATCTTACAGCCTTCCAAAATGACTCCAGTTGTTCACCCATGAACTAGGACCAAACTTTCTTTACGTATTTTATGTATTTTACATTATTTCCTATTTTTAAAGCAAGTGATTGCCATTATTATTATTATAGTCAACCTAAATAGTTATGAACAGTTTCAGAACAATGAAAAATTATAATATATGTGATGGTCATTTTTCTAAAGAACAAAATGTTTTTCTATTTTAATCCTATGTAGCTTGTGTCCTACCAGAACTCGTAAATCTATAATATTCAATACATTCTACAAACTCTACAAACTGCTTCATGGTAGAAGCCATATTTATGTTTATTTTACAATGTTTTCTAGTGTCAAACTGTACTGTGGAGAAAAGAAATGTTAGGTCTGTGCTCCGCCTACATTTTTTTGGTGCACATACCATTTACCCAGTCATGGAGTTTGTTTCTGGAAATACAAAGTTGATTGAGACCCAATCCTGCTATGATGGAACTCAGTCTAATTGGAGGGCAAATATGGAACAGCAATACTTACAAATTCTATCATAGAGGTTTTTTTTTTTTTACAAGTATTCAGTGTTCAGAAATCTGAAGGAAGGATTCATGCTGCCCAGAGAAAGCCTCATAGATGAGGTGCTGAATGAGATGCTTCATCCTCAGGGATGAGGAGCAGCTGAAGACGGGAGAGGAGGCCCTCCGAGCACAGAGCACAGCACAGACAAAAATGTGGAGGTGCTGGCAAGTGGGGGTGGGGGAAGCAAGGGGAGATGGTGAAAACAGAAGCCAAGACGGAAACTTTAGAATGCATCCCACTTCTCTGCCACTCACATGAGCAGATGGTTTCATCGGACCTAGAAGGGATCCAGCCAAACTCTGTCACCTCTATTTCTAAGAAAGAGCTCACCACGGCTGCTCATTAAGTATTTCTCAACTTCTTCCTGTTATGGGTTGTAGGGTAGCCCACCTCGTGCATAAAGCTGGCAACAATAAGGCCACTGGGTTCTTTTTTTTTTTTTTTTTTTTTTTGAGACGGAGTTTCGCTCTTGTTACCCAGGCTGGAGTGCAATGGCACGATCTCAGCTCACCACAACCTCCGCCTCCTGGGTTCAGGCAATTCTCCTGCCTCAGCCTCCTGAGTAGCTGGGATTACAGGCACGCACCACCATGCCCAGCTAATTTTTTGTATTTTTAGTAGAGACGGAGTTTCACCACGTTGACCAGGATGGTCTTGATCTCTTGACCTCGTGATCCACCCTCCTCGGCCTCCCAAAGTGCTGGGATTACAGGCATGAGCCACCGCGGCTGGCCCTTAAAAGTCGTTTTTAAGGGTGGTTTTAATTTCAAAGGAAAATTGAGAGGACGGAACAGAAAAATTCCATAAGCCCCCCTGCCTCCACACATGTTGCTTCCCTTATGACAAAAACCCCCACCAGAGTGATATATTTAGTATGATTGATGAACCCAAATACATCATTATCTCTCAAACTATGGAGACAGGAAAAAGATCAGGGGTTAGGAGGGAGGATGACTAGGCAAAGCACAGAAGATTTTAAATAGTCTGACATCATAGTGATAGATACATGTCATTATACATTAGTCCAAACCTTTAGAAGTACAACACCCTTATCTGTAGACTTTGGGTGATAATTTTGGTTGGTTTTTTAAAATTTTTATTTTATTATTATTATTATTTTATATAGCCTACAGCACCTGGTATCCCAGGCGGTCTCCCATCCAAGTGATAATTTTGTCATTTTTAAAATGAAGATATTGGCCAGGTGTGGTGGCTCATAGTTATAATTCCAGTATTTTGGGAGGCTGAGATAGGAGGATCACTTGAACCCAGGAGTTCACTAACAGCCTGGGCAACATAGTGAGACCTCATATCTATAAAAAGTTAAAAATTAGCTGTTCCTGTGGTCCTAGCTACTTGGGAGCCTAGGAGGCTGAGGCTGCAGTGAGCCATTATCCACGACTACACTCTGGCCTGGGTGACAGAGCGAGATTCTGTCTCAAAAAAATAAATAAAGATATTTTACTAAATGGTCTCCGATGTCATTTCATCCTGCATGTATCTCTGCATTATATGGGAATCTGTAAAGGGCAATTATAGTAACAATAAATCATTGGCAATTGTCTTTGGCATAATTCTTAGATCATCCTCTTTTTTTTTTTTTAAATGGAGTTTCGCTCTTGGAGACCCAGCTGGAGAGCAATGGCACGAGTGAACAATCTCAGCTCACTCCACCTCCGCCTCCTGGATTCAAACGATTCTCCTGCCTCAGCCTGCCGAGTAGCGTGAACTACAGGCATGTACCACCACACCCGGCTAATTTTTTGGATTTTTAGTAGAGATAGGGTTTTACCATGATGGTCAGATAGGTCTCAAACTCTTGACCTCAAGTGATCAGCTCACCTCAGCCTCCCAAAGTGCTGGGATTACAGGTGTGAGCCACCACGCCTGGCCAGGTCACCCTCTTTTAAGATCTAACATCTCAGACAGGGGAAAAATACTTTGTACCAAAGAAGGCAGGCTTGTGTTCCTATCTTGCTTTGTCCTAAAGCCTGAAAGGGATGTGTGCTGAAATTGAGGACGAGGAAGACAGAAGCACATGGCATGCAGATTCTGGGAAAATGCTTTGCAGGGACGTGAGGCACGGTCACTGCCTGTGATAGGACTGAGAACTGTCCCAGTGCCTTCTAATTGCTGAGTTATTTGGAGAAGCCTGTTGATTGGAGTGTAGAAGGGACAGCCCATTTTCTCTTGGTGCCTTGGAAAGAACAGGCCCCAAGTTAAGTGTAGGAGACAGACTTGGAGGAGGAAAGAACTTCCCATTCCAGAGTCCTCAAATTGCTTTAGTTTTACTTTTCTTCTTTGTGGTCTCTGAAGTAGCAGCTGTTGTTTGTCTTTCCATTGGGAAATGTTGGGAGTACATCTCATTTGTATATCTCGTTGATTTTCCTCAATCATGATGCTAGTAAGAGAAAGTATTCTATTTCAATGACATTGGAATCCCATGTGGTTTTAAAAACACATGCTTTAAGTGATGGAAAAAATATGTGTGTTCTGTTTTGAAAGGATGGCCTGCATCTCAGTCATAGTTAGGATTTCTAACATCCTAAAAGACTGTATCTTCAGAGCTATTTGTGCATTCATTTAGATGTCTACTGAGTGGGTCATGTTGAACCCTGTGAGGAGCCAGGCATTTTTCTGAATACTGCAATAAACATGCAGTCCTGATCTAAAATACAGCCTAGCAAGAGAAATGCACATGGACACAGATAATTCCAATATAGTGTGCTGCATTGAAATAGTCAAGAATTTAAACTACAGGCAAGCAGTTCTGTCATGTCCCCTTCTGTGCTTGTCTATTTCAAGGCTACTAAGTTCAAATTCCTAACCTTTGTGTCTAAAACCACATGGCTCTGGGAGGCTATTTACACATCATTCCCCTGGGTCATCCCTTTGTTTCATCCTTGCTACAAGCGTATTTGTGTAGAGTTACTCAGCCATTGAAAGCAAGATGTGCACTCTTAGGCAGATACCAATCTAAGTTTAAAATAGCATCACTTCTTCTATAGACTTCTCCATGCACACGAAGCATAGTGACTACGCAGATTACTTGGAGGAGAAAGAAAACTGGAGAGGCAAAGCCCACCAACACTGTTATGCTGAGGATCAAGGTCATCAGGATGGAGAACGTATTGGAGAATATGGTGTTTTTCCACCTGGCTCTTTTGTGTAGATTCTCATTGAGAAGCAGAGCTGTCAACCCCCTCCTGCTTGAGTCCAGGAAGGCCATTTTAGTGTTTGGCCCAAACCCGGTGCAGAATGAAGTTGGGTACACAGAGCCAGCTCCAGGTTTAAATAGCTTTTGAAACCATTTCAAAATAGCATTGCGCAACTTCCCAAGGGAAGTTAGGGTTGCAAGTTACAGAGATGACAGAGCCCGATTATATCCTTAAAATACATTGTTCTGAACTACTTCACCTTAACTGGAAAAAGGCAATTTTTAAAAAAATCTCTAGGTGGCAAGAGTGAAATGGAGCTCCATTTCTGAGAGGTGTTTCTTGGTTTAATAAAACAGAAATAAACTGTAGGTGGGAGCTTGGGCTAATTATCTCCTTTCTGAGCTCAACAGGCCTCCTTTTTTTTTCCTTTCCTAGTTGGTTTATTCCCTATGGTGAAAGCATTCTCTGCCCTCTGAATGCTTTTTAATGTTCGTGGCTTTCATTTTCCTAAGGGCGGGGTGACAAACGTCTCTGCCAAGCTCCATCCTTGTATCACCATTTCCCTACTTGGACTTCCCATTCCAGAGTCCTCAAATTGCTTTAAATGCAGTCTGCCTCAAATCAGCTTTTCCCCCTCAGTTAGTTCCCCACCTCCCTACCCTGTAATCTACTCCGTACACCGACACTTCAAAATACCTGCCCAGGACCCTTGGTGATTTTTCACTTGTCTTTTTCTCATCATGAGAATTTATTCTTACTTACTATGGAGAATATCAAACCTATACAAATGATAGTACAATGGACACCCAGGTAGCCATCACCCAAGCTGTAGCAAAACTCAATTCCTGACCAGTCTAGTTACATCTATATCCTCCTGAAATGAATCTGAAACAAATCCCAGCCCTGTCTTTGTTTCTGTAAGTATTTCAGTATTTATATCAGTAAATATTTCAGTATATACAAAAGATCAGGACTTGTTCACACACACTGATAGAGGCAAGAGGCAGGCAAATGCTTAAGCAGAGAGGGGCAGGCGCCCAGTGAAACCCAACCTTCACGCCGGAAGCTGTGCCAGGTAAATCCTCAGGCTGGATTGAGAACCCTTCCCATTTGATGAGCTTTCCGCTGATTGAGCCCTATC